TTTTTTGAGACAGAGTCTTGCTTTGTTGCCCAGGCTAGAGTGAGTGCTGTGGTGTCAGCCTAGCTCACAGCAACCTCAAACTCCTGGGCTTAAGCAATCCTGCTGCCTTAGCCTCCTGAGTAGCTAGGACTATAGGCATGTGCCACCATGCCTGGCTAATTTTTTCTATATATATGTTAGTTGGCCAATTAATTTCTTTCTATTTATAGTAGAGACGGGGTCTCGCTCTTGCTCAGGCTGGTTTTGAACTCCTGACCTCTAGCAATCTGCCCACCTCGGCCTCCCAGAGAGCTAGGATTACAGGCATGAGCCACCGCGCCCGGCCTCTTCTTTTCTAATATGTTAATTTAAGCCTGTTATGTTCCTCTAGGTACTGCTACATCTCACAGTTTTTGATATGTAGTATTTCCATTATTGTTCTTTTATTTAACGATCACAAGTGCCTACTCTATACCAGACAATGAACTATATGATAAGAGTTCAGAGTATACAAAACACATTACTAGCACTTAATGAGCTCAGAGTGTAGGTGCAAAGATAGATACACACAGGTAGTTATTATGTAACAGTATGATATGTGTTGTATTTGAGATATGTAAATCTAAGAGACTATCACAGAACAAACTGCCTCATGGAGTCAAAGAAGGCTTCATGGGGTAGCTGGGGTGAAATTTTATCCATCCATCCTTATTTAACAAACATTTGTTGACCATCTCTTCTCTAGGTGCTGGAGCTATGACTAAGTGTTAAAAAATGTAAAAAAGATAGGAGGGTGGGACAAGGTGAGGTCAGGATCTTTGAAGCAGAGGTAGCAGTCTGTGCAAAGGCCCAGAGGCACAGGGACATGGAAATGCATGATGAAACTGGAGTGATAGAGTGGCCAGTTCACCACGGGCTTTGTGTGCTACAGAAAGGAGTTTAGATTTTTGGTTGGAAATGTGAAGCCACTATGGAACTTAAAGCAAAGATAAACACGTTTTTAATTTAGAGATATTCTGGCAATAGAATAAATATCTGAGGCAGAGAGATCAGTTAAGAGGCTTTTAGACTAGGTTCAAAGCAAGAAGGACAGTAAATGTGGAGAAGTGGGGGTAGATTGAAGAGCTACCTAGGAGTTAGAATCAGCAGGACTGAAAGATCCTAGGGAGTGAAAAAAGAGGCATAAAGGATCACTTCCAAGTTTCTGGCTTGTGCAACTGCATGAATGGATGGTCGTGCCATTGACTAGGATAAAGAATATGAAAGGGTCGTAGGCTTTGGCAAAGAAGTTACAAGTTTGGTTTGGGACAGGCTGAGCTTTCCAAAGAAAAGTGCTAGCCAAGAGCATCTGGTCTAAGGAAGCAGGACAGAGGAGCATTTCTGAAAGTTTAAAGAGGATCAGTGCCACAGCTAGCCTATATGATGCCTTTGTACAAATTATAAAAAGGTGCCTCTTCTGAGCAGACCAATTATTATAGAAAAAGGCAACCTTTCTTCACAGTAGACTCAGCCACATGGCTTGGCAAGAAGCCCAGGCTGGATTTCAGCCCCAGTTCACCCCCTTTGACTGGGCATCTATGCAATGCACAAATTGCACAACCATGCACAGGAGCTTTGGGTCTTATTTGGGCTCGGGGACATGCCTAGGGGACAATCCATTGTTCACCAGTAGAAAAAGGATATAGCAAACTGGAGTTGGCTGGGGGCTTCGTCAGGAAAGGAATCTGGTAATTACTGGAAGGTTTAGTGGTCAGACCTATTTCCAGTGGATTCCTTTTAATCTCTTTTCCCATCTGTGTAAGAGGTTACTGTGAGTCCTCCTTATCACCTCAAGGCATTGTAAGGACTAAAGGAGGACATGTGTATGAAATCTCTGAGCATCTCTGTACCCCTAGTTTCTGGCATCAGACATGGCACACAGGTGGTACCACTAAGTGGTAAAAGGAATGCTGAAGGTAAAATGAAGTGGTGTATGATGGTAAACTGTGAAGACTATATTTTTTATGTGTTATGACTAGTGAGAATATCCAGATGATACAGACCCAGGGAGGGAAGTTGGGGGTGGTAGGGTAAAAGATGGTAGATAGAGGGGGTGTGCTGGTCAGGGGTGCGTGCTGTGGCCTGGGAGTCTTGAGCTTGGCCATGTTGGAGTATGGCTAAGGGAAAGTGAATTCAGAACTAAAGCACCAAGGAGCAGCAGAGGTGCCTGAGATGAGAACTCTGGCAAGTAATCAGCCCCTTAGCTTATGTGATGGTTTGGGAAGATTGAAGCAAAGAAGAATGTCATCCAGGGAAGAAGAAATGAGTATTGTGAAGGGCTTGGTCATAGTGGTGATTTGAAAAAAGTAAAGAGGTATCGTGCAGGGTGATGTGGAATCCCAGTGGTAAGAAACAGCAGGGCAGGCCGGGCGTGGTGGCTCACGCCCGTAATCCTAGCACTCTGGGAGGCCGAGGCGGGCGGATTGCTCGAGGTCAGGAGTTTGAAACCAGCCTGAGCAACAGCCAGACCCCGTCTCTACCATAAATAGAAAGAAATTAATTGGCCAACTAATATGTATAGAAAAAATTAGCCGGGCATGGTGGCACATGCCTGTGGTCCCAGCTACTCGGGAGGCTGAGGCAGAAGGATCACTAGAGCCCAGGAGTTTGAGGTTGCTGTGAGCTAGGCTGACGCCACGGCACTCACTCTAGCCTGGGCAACAAAGTGAGACTCTGTCTCAAAAAAAAAAAAAGAAACAGCAGGGCAATGCCAACCTGGCATCCTGAAGTCTACTCTCTCTTTTCTTTTCCCTGCTCAGTAAGGATGGATGAAGACTGAATGGGAGAACTATAGGGTTTCTTGAGGGAGCATAGTAGGTGTTATGTTCTAAGGGACAATCCAGGTTTCACTCAGGACAGGATAGTCGGAAGAGATATGCTCTAGATTGGCGTGTCTTTGAGAGGGTTTGATGGCTTAGTTGATCAGTTGATGAACAAAATACTTGCTTTGGCCCAAGCAGATCAGGTATTTGGGATCTCAAGGTTTGGTACAGTGACAAGGAATTTAGGTAGCTGTAACACAGATGTTTCTAGCCACTTAGATTTCAACAAAGGAAAAGGGCATCTTTTTTTTTTTTTTTTGAGACAGAGTCTTGCTTTGTTGCCCAGGCTAGAGTGAGTGCCGTGGTGTCAGCCTAGCTCACAGCAACCTCAAACTCCTGGGCTCAAGCAGTCCTTCTGCCTCAGCCTCCTGAGTAGCTGGGACTACAGGCATGCGCCACCATGCCTGGCTAATTTTTTCTATATATATTAGTTGGCCAATTAATTTCTTTCTATTTATAGTAAAGACGGGGTCTTGCTCTTACTCAGGCTGGTTTTGAACTCCTGACCTAGAGCAATCTGCCCACCTCGGCCTCCCAGAGTGCTAGGATTACAGGCGTGAGCCACCACGCCCAGCCAAGGGCATCTTTTTGAGAGACAAACCACTCTAAGCCTGAGTGATCCAGGGCAGTAGCCAGGTGGTAACCAGAGTGAGGCAGAGCTAGAATCCAAATCAGGCAGACTTAGTGAAGACTCAGGAAGGACCAGTAACATGAATGTATTTCTTAAGGATTTTTTATGCATGGCATCTCTTAATCATCGTAATGGCCCTCTGTGGTAGATGAAATTATCTGCATTTTATAGGTGACAAAGTAGAGACATAGAAGTTTCCAGAAGAAGCTGGAGCTATTTGCCCGAGTGATACCAATTGATTCTTTTGAGTTATTGCCTCTTTAGTTATCTGTGGCCTTTAGTCGAAGGCGGCTCAGGCTGACCTGGTCACCATACCTTACATGTAACTGTCTAGTCTAGCCTTTAAAGAGGGTTTGTCTTCTGTGTTGGAAGCCAGGACTCCATCTCAGGCTAACTGAAGGTTCTGTGGGGGGAATTCATCTCCCCTCCCCGGGATCCTGAGACTCTGAGGTATGGGCAGGACCTTGGCTGTAGGCCCTGACCATAAAACATGTGCACCCGAGTGCGTGTGTGTGCACAGCGTGTGTATGTCTGGAAGGGCTGCACATCAGTCCATCCACTCCCCATCAAGCACACATATGTACGTTTGTGTAGGTCTCTGTATGTGCCCATAAGTGTTGAGAGGGAGAAGAATTGAAAAAAAAGGTTTCTTATTTCTCTGTATCTTTTCTCTTCCATTTCTTCCTCTTTGTTTTCCCTCTCATTTCTCTTTTTCTCCTTTCGTTTTGAGCTTAGGTGGCACTGTGATTAAGTTCTCGGTACAGACTTGTCACTCAGCTTTGTCCTATGTTACATCTCAAAGGGCAGGATCTCTCTGTGGCTGAGACTTTGTAACCTTAGTTAGTTGCTGTGTGATCCAAAGTACTGCTGACAGGCCGGGCGCGGTGGCTCACGCCTGTAATCCTAGCACTCTGGGAGGCCGAGACTGGCGGATTGCTCGAGGTCAGGAGTTCAAAACCAGCCTGAGCAAGATCGAGACCCCGTCTCTACTATAAATAGAAAGAAATTAATTGGCCAACTAATATATATAGAAAAAATTAGCCGGGCATGGTGGCACATGCCTGTGTCCCAGCTGCTTGGAGGCTGAGGCAGTAGGATAGCTTTAGCCCAGGAATTTGAGGTTGCTGTGAGCTAGGCTGACACCATGGCATTCACTCTAGCCTGGGTGACAAAGTAAAACTCTGTCTCAAAAAAAAAAAAAACAAAGTACTGCTGACAGTGGCCCAGGGTTGGGGGAGGGAAGGGCAGAATTTGGGATAGCCTCACCTGAGACAGCCCCTGAGCACCATCATGGCTGTATAGGACCAGAGGGTACATGTTACAAAAGACGAAGGTTTGTTTTGAAGGTTAAGATAGAAGGCCAAGGTGGGAGGATTGCTGGAGGCCAGGAGTTCAATACTGTAGTGAGCTGTGATCGTGCCACTGTACTTGCAAGGGTGACAGCGAGACCCTGTCTATAAAGAAAAAAAAAATTTGCTCAGGGAAATTAAGGAAAGTCATACATCAGCTTATCTGTTTCTACTCCACAGTGACAGGTGAGAAGAAGGAAGGCTGGTCATGGGAGTCCTACCTAGAGGAGCAGAAGGCCATCACTGCCCCAGTCAGCCTCTTCCAGGACGTGAGTTGGATGATTTCCGCATAGGAAGACCTTATCTTCCTAGTCCAGGGACTTACCACCAAACTTAGGCCTTCTGGTGTATTCTGTGTCTGACATTCCTCAATGGACTGGCAAAATGGAAGAGGGAGAGACTGGTTAGGGCCCAGAGTGGACAAGGGCCTGCCATAAGAGGCTGCCATGATGGGAAGAAATAGGGAGATGGAACCCAGGCTTACCCATCACTGGGCCTACAGACCTGCAGACTGTTGAATCCTGGTGCTTTCAACTCAACTCAATTCGGCACTGAACTTTACATAATTTGGGCAAGAGAGAGCCCTTGAGTCCAGCCCCGACTCAGCCCACATTTTTCAAGGGACCTGAGAGCTATTCTGTCCCTCCCTGGCTCCCTACAGTAAAGATCCCCAAATAAGTTGCCCCCGTGGTAATACCAGGCGGGTGGGGCCTAAAGGCAGCTCCTTCACCCCAAGCCCACTAGGCAAGGCTAAGGCTGGATGGAAGCTGGGTCCTCTCCACTCTGTGCGTTGACAGTCCCAGGCAGTCACTCATAACAAGAATGGCTTCAAACTGGGGATGAAATTGGAAGGCATTGACCCTCAGCACCCATCCATGTACTTCATCCTCACCGTGGCTGAGGTAAGCTGGGGCATGGTACCACCTTGCCAATGATGGCTCTCAGGGTAGAGTGATGGAGTCTGCTGGGGACAGGGAGGCACTGCCCTGCCCTCAGAGCATACACAGTCTAGTAGGATGTTAAGTTGGAACACACAGAAAGCTTAAAAAAAGAACAAAACCAGATGAAGTGTTAGGGATGGTGCTGTTACTGAATAAGTATATGCTATCCATGCTGGGAGCACTTGAGGAAATCTAAGGGCCAGGGATGTTGGCATGAGTCAAACAAGGTCTTTGTCCTCTAGGAGCTCACATGTAAATGTTAGTGACATGCCACAGGGATAGTGACAGACATGAGCAGCGTGGCACAGGGAAGGAGTGGTCAGTTCTACCTGAGGGGACAGGGAAAGCTTAGAGGAAGGGCCGCCTTTGCTGAGTCCTGAGAGAGGGGTTATGATGAGGAGGGAGTTCCAGGAAGAAGAAGCAAAGTAAGCAGAGACTCTGGGCCCCAGAACAGACCACCACATTCAAGGAATTGCTGTTAGCTCAGCAAGACCAAAGCAGAGTGTGTGAGTAGGGGACAGTGGGAGGAGGAAAGGTCATCAGGGTCCTGAGCTGTGGTGAGTCCCCTTAAAGTTCTGTCCAGGGCTCAAAGGGCAGGAGGATGTCCTAGAGTCCACCTGTCTTGCACCCAGCACTCAGGGCTCATGGTACATGAACTGTCCTCACTGCAAAATAGAGTGTAGGGCAGAGTTCAGGATGGGGAAACCTGGGGGCAAAGAAAGGTGGGGTTGGGGAACCTGCTGGCATTAGAGCCCCTGAGACCAGGAGGCTGGGCCAGGAGAGGTGGGAAACAGGGCGTGGGGCAACTGCTGACATTGGAGTCCCTGTGATTCCCCTCATGGGGCCAGGTGTGTGGCTACCGCCTACGTCTGCACTTTGATGGGTATTCCGAGTGCCATGACTTCTGGGTCAATGCCAACTCCCCTGACATTCACCCTGCTGGCTGGTTTGAGAAGACTGGGCACAAGTTGCAGCCTCCCAAAGGTAAGGCCTAGCTGGGTTGGTCACGGTGAAGCAGATTCGTCCCTTCTTCCCCTTGGGTCCCGCTTCTAGCTCTTGGGTTCTCACCCTGTAACCTGTTCCTCTCTTTATTGCATCTTGATATGACTCTGCCCCAGGGCCAAGTTGGCTAGAAGGGCTTCTGCTTTTCCCTTGCCTTTGAGTATTCACCCAGGTTAGGTCCTGCTTTGTTTGGCAGGGGGTCCCTAGGCAAGTTCTTGAGGGTTGTGGGGTCCTCAGGCCTGCCTGATTCTGCTGCTTCAGTGTGGGGTGCCCTCGCTATGGCCCAGCCTCTGCACAGTGCTCTGTTCATCCCCCCCGAGGGGCCTAGGTTACAAGGAAGAGGAGTTCAGCTGGAGCCAGTACCTGCGAAGCACAAGAGCTCAGGCTGCCCCCAAGCACCTGTTTGTGAGCCAGAGCCACGTGAGTGCCCCCATGTGAGAGTGGACATCACCCTCTGGGCCAGAGCTACGGCAGCCAGCCCAGGGTACCTGACGTATCAGAAGAGAGCTTGTCCCCTTGTTCTCTCAGCTTGGTTCTGGCCTCTCATATCAGATGGGAGAGGCACAGCTGAGCAGGGCCCAGGACCAGAGGTGGAAGCTGATTGTAGGTGTTCCTCCATTTCCCTCCCTCCTTCCCTACTGTGGAAATCCTCTTCTGCACACACTCTTTGGAGCCCCTGGCCCAGTGCCTCAGCCTGGCACTAAGATGTTGCTCAAATATTCTTGCTTTGGTTTACTCTGCATTTCTTTGGTATACAGTCAAAGCCTTTGTTCTGGAAGCTTCTTTCTTCTCCCTTTTGACACACATTGAGGCTCTTCCATTCATTCCCAGCAACTCACTCCTTGTCCTTTCCTCTGTTTAGGGCAGCTGCCAGCTTATCCAGCAGTTAAAGTATCTCACATAACCCCAAGCAAAAGGTCAAAGATAAAGGGAACTCCCATTAAAAATATTACCATATTGAAGGTCTGGGGTCCCCATGGGCTGGGACTCCACCATGCTGTTCAGGCAGGGACAGTTATTCCCCCAACTTTTTCTAGCCCCAGAGCCCATACTTGAAGGTTCCCAGGGAACAGGTGGAGTCCCACCTACTGTTGTGACAGGGAATGTCGATTTTTAAGTCAAACTGTTTAAATCCTGGCCCCACCATTAACTACCAGCATTGTGTTCCAGGTCAAGTTATTTCATTTCTAAAATGAGGATAACAATACCTATGTAGTAGGGTTGTTGTAAAGGTCAAGGGAACTTTTGCCTGCTACATGGCAGGTGTCCAGTTTATGCTGGTTTCCTCCCTACTCTATGCCATAGGTGCTAGCCCTTCCCTACCACCTCACTGTTGCCACAGCTACCTTAGGCCAAACTAGGCCAGGCTTGACCAGGTAGGGAAGACTTGTACTTGGCCTGCCAGATTCTCTGGGCAAATGCATTATTACCTCCTGCCAGGCACTCACCTTCTGCCACAAGTCAGGCCTCCTCTGAGTGCATCTTGGAGGCCAGAAGTTCCTGAGTGGCTCAGAGCATTGCAGGGACGCTCTTTCCCAGCCTGTTCCTCCCTCCTCCCCCCTGCCCAGCTCTGAGGACATCCTCCTAGGGAACCTACTCCTTTGTTTGCCAGTGGGCTCTGGGCTAGTGCTAGCCAGCCTATCCCTGGCCATGGCAGCCCCTTTTCTTGCCCATAGAGCCCCCCACCCCTGGGCTTCCAGGTGGGCATGAAGCTGGAGGCTGTTGACCGCATGAACCCGTCCCTCATCTGTGTGGCCAGTGTGACCGACGTGGTGGACAGCCGCTTCTTGGTGCACTTTGACAACTGGGATGATACTTACGACTACTGGTAGTGGGAGGGCCCAATGGCCTGGGGTTCGGGGACAGGGGCAGCTGCTTTCACACCTCGGGCACCATGTGGCCCACTTGGTCCACTCCCAACATTCACATCTTGCTTGGGGTGGGGGATAATGAATTTGAGCTGTATCAGGAGAAACATTGCTCAGTATTAAATGTTTCATCTAAAAATACCATGGTTAAGATGAGCAAACCCCTGTGATTCATGATTTTCCCTTAGGTATTATGGTAGTGTTAGAGTTTTTAGTTAATGTTGCAATGTTCCAACTTTGTCATCAACCATCTGTCTCCCTCTCACTAAGAAATGGGATGAGGGTGGACCCTGAGCCATGCTGTCAGAGGACAGCAGGCTCAGGGCTTTAAAGTTTCTCTTGGGACAGTGATGTATTCTTGGGTTTCAGGTGTGATCCCAGCAGTCCCTATATCCACCCGGTGGGCTGGTGCCAGAAGCAAGGAAAACCCCTTACCCCTCCACAAGGTGACCCTGCAGGTTGAGCAAGGCTCTCCCCCGTGCCTGGTCCCCTTCCCACTCCCCCGATACCTTACCAGTGCCTCATTAGCTGGCTCTTAGGGTCAGGGTGAGAGGACAGATATGCCCTGGAGCCTCAGCTTTGATTTTAGGAGAGTCTTGTCAAACCCTGACTCCCTTGAAGTGTAGGGGAAGAAAGTTAGATATCCATCTCAGCAAGGGAGCAAGGAGTTTAAAGCGAAGAAAATGTGTCTTTCCTCCTGGGAGTAACTGGCCCCAATGCAATCAAGGTTCACATGGGGCTGGAGTAGGAGCGGCAAGACAAGGGTGACAGGAGCCAAAGTCCCCAGATCACCTGTCGTGGTGGTGCTCTGCGTGGTTCTCCCTAGTACCCATCTGCCTTAGGATCCTGGTACAAGGAGTTGGCTGAGGGGATGTAGGGGGAGATTCTACTCCCAGGGCCTCTGCCCCTTCTGTCCTGGTCCTGCGTAAGGGACAGGGAGCTCCTCCAGTATACCTGGATGGCTGAACGTTGCTTTCATCCTCTCCTCCAGACTACCCAGACCCTGACAGCTTCTGTTGGGAGAAATATCTGGAAGAAACTGGGGCCTCTGCTGTGCCCACCTGGGCCTTCAAGGTGGTGAGTCAGCACTCTGTCCCCTAGAGCTGAGCTCAGAAGATGTAGAGTACTCGGCCAGCTAGGGTGGGGCCCAAGCCTACTGCTTTGGGCAGGCTACAGTTTCCCCAGGCACAGCACTTGGGCTCCCTTCTCAGGGCCTCAGCTCTGCTGGGCTGGGGCTGCGCCTGACGGCACCTGTTCCCCTGCAGCGACCCCCTCATAGCTTCCTGGTCAACATGAAGCTGGAGGCTGTGGACCGAAGGAACCCAGCCCTGATCCGTGTGGCCAGTGTGGAAGATGTGGAGGACCATCGGATAAAGGTGGCTTGGGGACCCTAGGGCTAGGGGAGTGGACAGACCAGTTGGGCAGGAATCCTGTAGACTGGTTACAGGTCAAGAACCTTGGATCTCGTTCTCACCTAATCTGTGACTTATTTTTTCGGGCTTGGACCCATCTCTGAACCTTAACCTTCTCATCTGTGAAATGGATCTAACAATCCTTGTCCTACCCAAGGATTGATAGGAGATGCCAGTAATTTAATGAACGAAGCCCTTGGAAAATGTGGTGGCCAAGACCAATTACTGTAGGGTTGGCTCCTTGGTTCTTTAATCCAGGATCTTGCTTCTGACAGGCCCTGGGGATGGGGAGAGCCTCCTGGAGCCTAGAGGACCTCATGGCTGAGCTGGGCTCTATGAGGAACACCTGACCTCCAAGGACCTTTCTCCCTAGCTCCATTTTGACGGCTGGAGTCATGGCTATGATTTCTGGATCGATGCTGACCACCCAGACATCCACCCTGCGGGCTGGTGCTCCAAGACAGGACATCCCCTACAGCCTCCTCTCCGTGTGTACCCCTAGGGCACTGTGACCCTTTCCCTTCCCCCCAAGCTCTGACAACCCCCCCTTCTTAGAACTTACCCAGGAGGCTCTGACACTCCTGCCCAAGCATGACACAGGGCTCTGGTGCCCACCATGAGCTCCAGGATCCCCATCCTCCCCACCCCAGGACTGTCTGCTACACTAAGCAGTGCTTCTGCCTACCCTAGTTGTTGGGTTAGGGATATTGAGGTGTGAAGGGCCAAGCTCACGTGGTTGCATGTGCTTAGGAGGTAGTTACACACCGGGAGGTTTCTCTCAGCATGTAGCAGAGCTACCCCGAGCATGTGTTGTGTTTGCTGAGGAAATACTGGCTTCCTCAAGTAAACTTCTGGTCCTCTACACAGGCAGGGCTCAGAGTTCAGGTCATTGGACTGCTCAGACCCATTCTCACCCTCAGGATTCCCCTTATTTCTCTGCTGCCACCACGTCTATCTCACATGGAGTATTTGTTGATCCTTCTTGAATGTTCTCCAAGCATGGCCAGAGCCTTAAACAAGTTACCAAAGCCTTGGAGATGAAAACAGGCAAAAGAACTGATGATAAAATGAATCTGCCTGATGTGGCTTCTGAGGGACAAATATGCCCACACCATCTCTGCATTGATTTTTTTCCTGAGGGTTCTCCTGTCAGAGACTGAAGGCATGGCCGATAGGTTTCATCAAAGCACATGAAAGCCAAGCCTCCTTCCCAAAGAGGGGCAGGTATCTAGGAGCAGAAAGTAGTATCACGGCCTAGCTTAGGGCCCCATCCCTGGAGAACTAGTTCCTTGTGCTGATCTCCCCGATGGAAACTCTTCCTTCCCTGCCCTTCTTCATCCCCAGGACTTTATGGTGACCCTTTTCTTTCTGTGCTTCCAGGCCCCAAAGAGTCCAGCTCTGCCTCCCCTGGGAGCTGTCCCCCTCTCAGCTATCGGAATCTGCCCAACACTAAGACCTCCAAATACAGCTTTCACCACCGGTGAGCGAAGAGCTCCTGCTGAGAGGGGTTTTGCTCAGTTGTTCAAGGAAGATCTGCTTTGTACCTGTTGTGCACAGCTGGTTGGGGTTCACCAAGACACCTCCAGATGGGGCCAGGACTGGGAAGGCCTCAGTGGGGACAAGTGGATTCAGCCCAGCTGAATCCTTCTTTTTCCCCAGGAAGTGCCCCACTCCTGGTTGTGACGGCTCTGGCCATGTCACAGGCAAGTTCACGGCTCACCACTGCCTGTCGGGCTGCCCACTGGCCGAGAGGAACCAGAGCCGGCTGAAAGCAGAGCTGTCTGACACAGAAGCTTCAGCCCGCAAGAGGAATCTCTCAGGCCCGTCCCCTAGGAAGAAGCCTCGCCATCACGGCCGGTATGGAGGCCAGGGAGTCAGGGCCTGGGCTTCCTGGGTGTGGGGCCTCATGTGGTCTTGGGCCAGGCCAGGCAGATTGCTTGTGTTGGACCTGGTCCCCCTCTCTGCAGAATTGGACGCCCTCCCAAGTTTCGGAAGATTCCACAGGAAGATTTCCAGAGTAAGTTCAGGTCATCTCTTCCCGTGTCCTACACAGAGTATTCACAGTGAGTACTCTAATTGGTGGGAGGAGACTCCAGGGTTGCCCAGAGTGGGAGAAGCTAGAAGGAAGGATGCCTCTCTGTTTGAGGTCCTTTGGAAGCATAGAGCAGTGGCAAGAGCACGGGAAGGGGCCTTAAGGGCCCGTGGGTTCCAGTCTCATTTCTCCCCGGTGAGAGCCAGTGGGAAAGGCACAGAGCCTCTTTGGGCCTCTGGCTCTTCACTGTCAGGCAGGGTGATTCCCCTGGCTATGCTCTTCCCTGATTCTAGGATTCCCAATGCTGTCACTTTCTACCTGTGTGACCTTGAGCAAGTCACATAACATCTCTAAGCCTCAGTTTCCTCAATTGAAAACATGAGTAAAACCTAACTTTCAGGTGTCAATACCTGAAATGATAGTGGTTACTACTACTATTTACTGAGTACCTACTATGAGCCAGGTGCTTCACATGTACTGTCTCTAATGCTCACAAGCATCCCATAATAAGGATATTGTTCTCTCCTGAGAGAGGACGAATGTGAGGCTCAGAGGGTAAAGTCATTTGTCCAGGGTCATTAACCTTGTGAGGGGCAGAGCTGGGATTCATACTCTGATCTGACTTCTCCTACCATATGCTGCTGGTATAATAGACATAAAGCAACTAACCCAAATGTCAGTTTACTCCTCAACCCCCTTATGTTAGTTTGCTAGGGCCACCATAACAAAATGCCACAGACTGGGTGGCTTAAGCAACGGAAATGTTTTTTTCACAGTTGTGGAGACTAAAAGTCTAAGATCAAGTTGTTGGCAAGTTTGGTTTCTTCTAGGCCTCTTTTGGCTTGCAGGTGCCTGCCTTCTTGCTGTGTTCTGACATGGTCCTTGCTCTGTGCCCAAGAATCCCTGGTATCTCGTTGTCCATCCAAGTGTCTCTTTTTATAAGGACAGCATTCAGATTGGATTAGAGCCCATCCTAATGATGTCATTTTAACTTATTACCTCTTTAAAGGCCCTTTCTTCAAATACTGAGGTACTGGGGCTTAGGGCTTCAGCATATTAACTTAGGAGGGGACACAGTTCAGCCCGTAATGTGCTCCAAGGGTAGGGACAGAGTGACTGAGCTCTTTGATGAGTGGCAAATTTATTTGACGTCTTCAGCCACCAGTATAGGGCCTGATACACAGCAAGGATGCCAGCAATCTTGCAGTTGAATTGAGTGCTTGTCGTTTTAAGGCTAGACGAGACCTCGAGAAATCACCTGGGTCACTGCCCTTGGGCAGGACCCAGACTGTTCCCGTTTTTCTTCAGGAACAGTTTCTGTAACCTGGGCAGTGTGTAAGCTAGTGATTAAAAGCACAGCCCTGAAGTCAGATTGCTTTTGTACAGATGTGAGACCTTGGGCAGGTGATACCACTCGCTGAGCCTCAGCTTCCTCATCTGTAAACTGCTGATGATAATAGTCCCCACCTCGTGATGCGGTGAGAGGCTTCAGAGCGGTGATCCATGGAAAGTGCTTAGCACAGCTCTCTGCTGGTGTTACTAGTCTGAATCTCTTGCCTGACTCCCTTTTGCTGTTTCACACTGTCTCCTCTTGGTGGAAACAGAAGCAGTTTCTGCAGCCTCAGGCCCGAGTGATGAGGGTCTCAGCTGGCCCCTAGGCCCTCAGAATGAGGACTTCTGAGGATCAAACTGCCTCAGAAGCGGGCACTTCTACCTGCCCCTGGTACACCTTGTCAGCTTCCATTGCAGGACTAAGTTCTGACCATCAGAGGGCACTTGCCTACTGTGTTCATCCCATTATTATGCCGTAGAATTCTTGGGAAGTTATGACTTGCCAGAGGCTGAGCCTGTGGCCCGGAGAGGAAGAGGAAAAAGTGACCCAGAACTTCAAGGACAGAGCAGGGGACAGAGTCCAGGTCTCTGACCTCTGTGCAGGGCTCCTCTGCCCAACCAATGGGCCTCTTGCACAGAAGGGACACGGGTCACTGTGGGTTTTGTTCTGGAGGCAGCTTCTCGCACACCCATGGGTAGACCTTCTCAGTGTAGGCTCTGGGGTTTGCGATGAGCAGCTCCATGGGGAGGGCAGCCTGGAGAGCACAGGGTTTCGCTGGGCTTAGTCTTTAGGCCCCAGGAGTGTCAGCTGCTGAAAGGAAACAGAGCAGCCGTTTCTGACCTGCAGCTAGTGGTCTATAGTGAGGGCAGCAGGGAGGCAGAGCCACAGGAGAGGAGTGGTGGGTGGGGCTGGAGATGGAATGCCAGAGGCTCTGTGGTGAGTGTGAGGGGCAGAAGAGCCAGACCAAAAGGCTGTGTGACACTAAGGGGAAAGGGCAGGAGAGTCTGACCAGCAGGGAGGGGCTTTGAGAAGAGGGCGCTGGATGTACTGCATTTATAAGCATCTGGAATTAGTACTAAGAGGATAAGAAAGAACAAGCTCTCCTGGACTAGAGGCTGGGCAAGCTCCATGGGAGAGTGGCACCGTTGCCGAAGGCCAGCCAAGGCTGGTAGAGGTGGGCGGGGCTGGGAGTGTCAGAGTAATAAGACATAGTCGAAGTCCAAGTGGGCAAGTGCCAGGCCTGGCCAAGGAGGCGGCCCAGCTGAGCTGAGTCAGCAGCTTTGTAGAGCCACTTGGGGCCAGAGGTCAGGAGCCAGGGATCCCAGAAGCAGATCAGGAAGCAAAACAACAGGCATCGTGGAGTTGGAGGGGGTGGGTCTAGGGGACCCTCTAGTGCCAGAGTGGTGGTAGTGCAGACCAGACTGGTAGAGGAGGGAGGAGGAACTAGAGCTTGGGGCAATGGCTACAGGGATGGCCTTCAGACTGGTTGGGGGGACTGTGATTCTGAAACAGAATCACCGTGGCTCTGAGCGGGGCCCCAAAGGATTTAGGAAAAGAAGGGCAAACAATGGACTTCTGACCTTGGGGCTGAGCTTGTTTGGCTGTTGGGGACAATTTTGATACATGATATCTAAAGAATGATGTCTTTAGAGATGCTGCAGCAGCTCCAAGAGAGCATCCTTGTAGAGCCCACAGTGGTGCAACCTCAGAGAGAAGGGGTTGAGAGTCATTCCAAATAGCTGACCTGAGAGTCTATAAAGTAAGGGACCCACTTGACCAGAAGGAGCAAGTACCAAGTGGGGAGTCAGGAGTGCGGCTCATCCTCTTGGCTCTGCAGACTATCAGAAGGGCCTGTGGTCCTCTCTGCCCTTCCAGCCAGTCTCCTGAGCACCCTGGGTGTGAGCAGGCTTCAGACGCCAGGTTAGTTCTCAGCATCAGCCCGCCAGCCTCTGCCTCTGCTTTCCAGCACTCACCCCTGGTGTCATGCAACAGTCCCTCTTCATGTCTGCCTTGTCTGCCCACCCTGACCGCTCACTCTCAGTGTGCTGGGAGCAGCACTGCAAGCTCCTGCCAGGAGTGGCAGGTATCTCGGCCTCGACCGTCACCAAGTGGACCATCGATGAGGTGAGGAGCAAAGGGACCTTCCTTGTCCTTCTCCCCTCCTTCTCTGCCCCTTCTCCCTCTCACCACGCCCTGATGGGAGGGCCCAGGAAGGGCTCTGGTCAGATAGGGCCCAGTCTCACTCCTGATACTACCTCCTGTCCACAGTCCCTTTTGGCTGCCCAGCAGGGCTGACTGAGACACTGCCCAATAGGCCCACCATGGTGGGTGGGGATGGGGCCGTGCTGCTAGTCCGTTCAGACATCCAGCAGGAGAGGCAGACTTCAGTCCTGGGCCTCAGGAACAAGGGACCCCACCTTGCACATCTGCCTGCACAGAGACCCAAGGATTGTCATAGGCTGATGAGAAAAGGCCACACTGGCACAGCCCAGAAGGCACCCAGGCCGTATAGGCCAGCCCCTCCCTACACTCCCAGACCCTGTCCCCTGATCAACATGTCTTCTTTGGTTTCCAAGGTCTTCGGCTTTGTTCAGACCCTGACAGGTTGTGAGGACCAAGCACGCGTCTTCAAAGATGAGGTGAGGTGCAAGTGCAGGGTGGGAGATCGAGCCGGGGTCACTGTGTCCTTGAGACAGCAGGAAGCAGGTGCCCTCCTCAGCACTCCCCCAGCTAGGGAGGCACCCCTCTTGCCCCACCGGGCAAGAGTAGACAGAGTGACCCACATCTCTGGGAAAAATCTGGTATAGACTGTGGCCCAGCTTGGGGACCCTGTGTGTTCAGATCATCTTCAGGAAGGAAAAGGCATTCTGGAGAACAGGATTCCACTTACTCCTCTGCTCTCTGCCCAGTCCTTTGTTTGCCAAACTTAGCTACATCAGCAATGCTCAAGAAATTAAAGTGTATTTTTTTCTCTAATCCAGCATGTGGTAATTAAAGCATATTTTGAATGGTGCAGGTATTGCTATCACTGCAAGGATCCTAATACACACTTAAAATCAAGACCTAGGAGCTTAGATAAGAAGTATGGCTGGGTGCAGTGGCTCATGCCTATAATCCTAGCAGTCTGGGAGACTGAGGCAGGAGGATCACTTGAGCTCATGAATTCAAGACCAGCCTGAGCAAGAGCAAGACCCTGTCTCTACAAAAAATAGAAAAATTAGCTGGGTGTGGTGATGCACACCTGGGTGTGGTGGACACACACCTATAATACAAGCTACTTGGGAGGCTGATGCAGGAGGATTGCTTAAACCCAGGAGTTTGAGGTTGCAGTAAGCAATAACACCACTGCACTATAGACAGGGTGACAGAATGAGACTCTGTCTCAAAAAAAAAAAAAGGAGTGAGTTGTAGATAAACAAGGAACACCAACTTTGGAGACAGTCCGGATTTGCCTCCCAGTTTTGCCAATTTTAGCTGTTTATTGTCTCTAAGCCTGTATTTTCTTGTCTGTAAAATGGAGATAAAGTGGGTATAATGAAGTCTACCTTGCAGAGCCATTGTGAGCATTGGAAATGATGAATGAGTCTCATACCAGAATTTCTAGTATAATTACAGTCATATTAGTGGTGAAGGTATGTTCTAAGAAATCCATTGTTAGGCAATTTTGTTGTGCAAAACATAGAGTACACTTACATAAACCCAGATGGTATATATTTATTTATATATATATATATTTTTGATATGGAAAACCAAATGTCCCAACATTACTGAATATTAAGTTTTCCCCTACTTGTTCTACAGTGCCCATATCAAGTGCCACATACCAAGTTTCTATATATGCTCCCTACTGTCAGATATGTGGTCTATCACTGACTAAAATGTCATCATATGGCACATGACTTGTATATCACGAGTATATATAGTATATAGCAATATTATGAAGTAATATGTAAATCATTTCACTATACCAGAATACCTGATACAGTGGGGGCACAATAAGCGGTAGTTCTGACTTTTAATGCATAGTTGCCCTTAAATAAAGAACTTTATCATGACTCTCATTTATAGAGTTTGAAACTGGAAGGGACCTTTGAGTTTGTTTAGGGCTTCCTTCCAAAGAATACAGACATCCCTGCTGTGCATTCCCCTTTACCCAGGAAACTGGTCTCAGCTGTCCATAGCTTCCAACTCCAGGTCAGGTGCCTATAATAAATTAGCTGACTCCTCTTTCCCTGGAAGAGGGTCTTTATCTAGACCCAGCACAGCCAGATTCTTCATTTAGTCCTTGTGTGATGGAGCTCCTAAACTCTTCCTCATTCTAGGTCCTTCCCTGCCGTCTTAGTTGGTGATCTTGTCTTCATGTGTGTGCCCAAAGCTGAACTGCCTGTTTCTGATGCCCTCCGGGCAACCTAGAACACATAGAGCTGCCACTGCACTAGATGTATTTTAATTGAGATAAAATGTATGTAGAGTGAAATGCACACATCTTAAAGGTACAGTTACACAAGTTTTATTGAAGGTGAACCCAACACTTCGATCGAGATATAAAACATTTCCATCATACCAGAAAGTTTTCTTAGCCCCTTTTAGTCAGTCCCCATCCCAAAATACAACCGCTGTTCTGGTTTCTAGCACCATATATTAACTTTGCCTGTTCTTTTTCTTTCTTTTTTTCTTTTTTTTTTCTTCTAATAAAGACCTCAGGAGAAATTTTTATTTATTTTTTAAAAATTTTTTCTCTACTAATAAGTCTGCCTCTTCTTGAATTCATATAAATAGAATCATATAGCATGCACTCTTTTGGGTCTGTCTCTTTTTGCCCATTGTAATGTTCTTAAGGTTTTTCCATGTAGTTATGTGTATCCATAGTTTGTTTATTGCTGAGTAGTGCTCCATTTTATAAATATGAATATTCTCTTCTTAACAAATATTTAGGTTGTTTTCTCTTCCCCTAGATTTGAACCCTATGTTTTTGTTAGCAAAACTTAAATCCACACTAGCTTTATTACAGCCACATCACACTAGTTTGGGGATCATGAAGTCCCCGAGTGCTTTTCATGTCAACTATAGTCAAACCCAGTTTTCTAGTGTGTTCATGTACCACTGGGCTTTTAAAAAATTAACCCAATATAAAATTTTACATCTACCCTATTGAATGTTATCTTCTTGGTTTCATAGCTTTATTGTTTTAAATCTTGATTTTGTCATCTATGACAGTAAGCCTTTCCAACCTCATACAACTTGCACATTTAATAGCTAAGGCTTCTGTATCTTTGTCTAAGTCTTTGCCATACATTTAATGAGACAAAAGAACAATATGGTACCCCATTTGAGATCTTCCTGTAGGTTTACAGGTCATAAATCAACACTTTCTAAGCATAGTCGTTCAGCCAACTGCAGAATTACGCAAGAGTTAATTCTCTTGAGTTAATTCTCCAGCCTGTGCTTGCCTTTGCCTTCTCCCCTTCCTGGGACAAGGGCTGTCTCTCCTAGGAACATCTGCTATTTCTCTTGGTTCAGCATGGTCTGTGATATAAAAAAACAACGGCCAAGGAGGGGAGGTGTACTGGTGGACCACTAGCATTAAATGAGTCTCAGAGTGGAGCGAGACCTTTGTGGGGCCCGAGGATTACCATCTCCAGGGGCTGGCCCACATCATCATGTCCGTCCCCAGGGAGGACTGTTCTACAGGGAGTGGGCTCTCTCTGGCTTAACTGAGATTGGACATTCAGGGACAGCAGTCGAGATGATCTCCATCCAGAATACAGACCTGTCATCAGAGGGTTGCTTCATGAGTGAGGAATTAGAGCAAAGCAGATAGATGGTCTTACAGGTGGTCTGTACCGATGGTCCTAAGGGTAGTCTGTCCATTCCTCTCTCAGTTATCTTTATTGTGGCCTTTGGGTATTTGTTTAATGTAAGCAAACCTCTGTGCCTGGCCCAGTATAAGCTGGTATAATACCAAAGTAGATGAGAAGAGGTCCTTGTTCTTAGGGTTCCCGCATAGTAGAGGGCACAGAATTATAAATTGCTGCTTCTGGTGGAGTGTGGTGGGGGCTCTGAGAGAAGTGTGTGTGGGTGTCATAGGAGCTCAGAGGAGGAGGAGGACTGAGGGGCCAGTGGGCTCTGCTGGCTGTGTGGCCAGATGAACACTGGCTGCTTTTTGCTCCCAGAATGTACCTTTTACTTGGGCTCCTGGTGAAACACACCTTTCTATTGTGACAACATAGAAGTCTCATCAGTCAAATTTTGGAGGTACTGATTAGATTTTTAGCTTGGCCAATGTTAAACATCCTCCATATGGCTCTCTGGATCTATCCAGATTACCTCAGTTTACAGAAATTCTCTGGGTAGGACTCACAGCATTGTAGGTTCATTGCTTATGGTGGAGCATTTGGCTCATTTTGTCCATTTTCCTGTTGATTTTCTTTATCTTCAAGGTCAGAACATGACGTTTTTCCTGATCATATGGCTCAAAACTCCCCATACATATCAGCAGACATACAACATCTTGTATTTTCTGATGTGACCCCACTGGCCCTTTATGTAGCCTCAAACTGCCAGGTGGGGATAGGGAACTGCAGCCTTGGGGCCACATGTGGCCTTCTGGATCCTTGAGTGCAGCCTTTTGACTGAATCCACATTTTATAGGACAAATTTTAATAAAGGAATTTGTTCTGTGAAGTTTGGATTTGGTCGAGGGCTACACTTGGGGATCTGGAGGACCACATGCTGCTGATTCCCCACCCCTCTGGATGATGATAAATGAACTCATAGAAGAATCCATACTTAACTCTGCCTGGAGTTCTTTCCTTCATATTCTGAACTTTAGGATATCAAAGTCACAGGTGACAGCCTTGACATCTTCCTGGACCAGGCTCTATGATTCAGTGGGGCCATCAAGAGGGACCCCAGAGCCTGCCCAGCACAGGTGTCTGGATCTGGGTATTTCTGCACAAACACATCTGCCCGGGATCAGCGGAGAGGTCTCTGTAGGTTCTGGCGAGTTGCTTCCTGGGATGGCCACTTGGCTGGCAGGTGCTCCTCACAGCTCTGGCACTGGGAGAAGTGTCCTGGCACTTCTCCCCAGTGAGGAAGCACTGAGGAGACGTGGAGTGGCAGACTCTGTGAGAACAGGGAGAAATGTACTTATTCACCAGACCCCAGATCTCAGACCTGGGAGGTTCCTTTTCACCTGAGTTGGTCATTTTAGGGTATTTGAAAGGAAGCATAATGCAGATAATCTCATCTAGGGGCATTTGGCTATTAGGCCTTTTCTTTCTTTCATTCTATGGGAAGGTGTGTAGCCATTAGAAGCGCCAGTTTTCAGAGCTTCCTTGGTTAGTGGATAGGGAAGGACCAGGTAATTTTTCTCAGAGCTGCTGGGGGACAGATGTAAGAAGTTTGTTGCCTCCCACCTCGTTTAACCTCTAAGTTGCCAGCCTCTGAGATACAGTCCTGCCTTCACCACATCGCAGAGATCCTTTTATTTGTTCTTTCAGGATATACTGAGCACACGCCACAAGTCAGATAAGCAGCCCTCTTGCACTCCTGGAATACAGATGAAGGAACTTACACAATTCAGTGGAGTTTGTTGAACTCTGAGAGCTCTAGGCAAGGAGGAAGGAGTGGGCAATTCCGAATGGTGGGAGAAGCAGTGGGGTCCAGCATGCTGACCGTGGGAAGGCCTGCCAGGAAGGGATCCAGGGGGAATAGAGGTCCAAGGAAGAAAACACTCAGTGATTGGGGAAGAGTCTGTCGTCCATTCTGTGGTGCTGGCTGTGAGGAAGGCTCACGTGGAACTGTGGGCAGGGCCAGGCTTGGAGAGTGTCACCCTGTGAGGTAGATGAATCGTGTCCCTAGGAGTCCCTACCCACACTCGCAGTAGCTAGGAGCACAGACCAGCACTTACAAGCTAGGTGTGTTTTGAGCAAATTCCTTAGCTTCTCTGCTTCAGTCTTCTTGTCTGTAAAATGGGGGTGATACTAATATTGCTTCGTAGGGTTGCTGTGAGAATTAAATTTAGACTTAATATATGACAAGTGCTTAAGAGTAGTGCCTAGCACATAAGAAATAACATAGAAGTGTTCTATTTGCTGTGATTCTTGAGGTTTGAGCATAGGAGAATGGCACCTCCTCAAAAATGGGGTCCCTTGGCTCCGCCCTATCCTCCTCCCCAGCTCTTGTCATCCCACTCCCTCATCCTCAGCTGGCTTCCTCCCTCCCTGACTCTACCCACGTACTGATCTGTTAGAATTGACAGTTGCCAAGTTGGCGTACTTGCTTCACCCATGTTTGGATGACACAATTTTAAATTAATTATAGACAACATGGCGTTTCACCTCTGAGTGTTTGAGCTTGCATCTCTAAAAACTAAGGACTTTCTCACATAACCACAATATTGTTATCCCTAACAAATTGACAGTAACTCCTTTCTTTTTCTTTTTTTCTTTTTTTTTAGATAGAGTCTCACTTTGTTGCCCAGGCTAGAGTGAGTGCCGTGGCATCAGCCTAACTCACAGCAACCTCAAACTCTTGGGCTCAAGCAATCCTGCTGCCTCAGCCTCCTGAGTAGCTGGGACTACAGGCATGTGCCACCATTCCTGGCTAATTTTTTCTCTATATATTAGTTGGCCAATTAATTTCTTTCTATTTATAGTAGAGACGGGGTCTCGCTCTTGCTCAGGCTGGTTTCAAACTCTTGACCTTGAGCAATCCGCCTGCCTCGGCCTCACAGAGTGCTAGGATTACAGGCGTGAGCCACCGTGCCCAGCCGACAGTAACTCCTTTATATTATCCAATACCCAGTCTATATTCGTATTTCCCCGGTGATCTCAAAATGTTTTTTGCAGTTTTTGAGCCAGAAACCAAACAAGGCCCACATAATTGGTTTAGTTTTTATGTTTCTTAAATATCTTCTATTCTAGAATAGGCCCTTCTCTGTCTCTCTCTGTCTCTCCTTTTTTTTTTTTTTCTTTTTTTAATGACTTTTTTTTAAGTCTTGAAGAATGTGCTTTTCTAGATTTGTCTCATTGCTTTCTTTGGTGTTGCTTAAATTGTTCCTCCTCTATTTTCTATAAATTGAAAGTTAGATCCAAAGGCTTGGTTAGATTCAGATTAAATTTCTCTCTCTGTCTCTCTCTCTCTCTCTCTCTCCCCTGTCTCTCTCCCTCTCTCCCTCTCCCCTGCCCTGGCTTTCAGCAAGAGTTGCTCATAGATAATTCTGTGTACCTCATGCCACATCATACAATGCACACAGTGTCTGCTTGTCTTGCTGTTAGCAACACTAAGATTGACCATGGGGTCACATGGGGACAGCAGCAGGTTTCTCAAAGCCACTGTCCATGGTACTCAAAAGACATTTTGCAAATACAAATGCTGAAACTCAGACCAGTCAGCAGAAAGAGAGAAAGAGAGAGAGAGTATGAGTATGAGAGCATGGGGAAACCAGTGGCTGTCTTTCTTTCCTTCTCCGTCCCCATTGCTGTCTTCCTTTTTTCCTTTCTCCCTCCCTCCTCCTTTCTCTTCATCCTTCCTCTTCTTCCTCCCTCTTCTTTCCCTCCCCCCACCTCCTTTATGCCCATTTTTCTCCCCTTCCTACTCCCCATGCATATCCCTACCTTTCCTTCACCCTTCCCTGTGACCCTCCCACCTTTTCCACTCTCCGCCTTCCTTCCCCAATCCCTCAGATGATTGACGGCGAGGCCTTCCTTTTGCTGACACAGGCGGACATTGTGAAGATCATGAGCGTCAAGCTGGGCCCAGCCTTGAAGATCTATAACGCCATTCTCATGTTCAAAAATGCTGATGACACCTTAAAGTGACTGGCTGAGGGCTGGGCCCTCCTCCTTGCTGAGCCTCCCTCTCCAGCTGATGCTTCCTCCCTGACTTGTGTTCCCATATCCCACTGTGCCCCCACCCTCTGTCTCTGACCAGGGTTGGTCCTTCCCAGAAGGGGCATGGGAGCAGAGGAGCCCCGGGAGGGTGGGATCCTGGCCCTGGAGTCCTGGGGTTCATTTGCCATCAGGTGCACCAGTGAGGGTGTGACTGGGCCGGGGTGTTACTGACAGAGTAGGTTGGAGGCCCTGCCTGTGGTGGCCCCACACCCCCAGCTGACTTGTTTTATCACCAAAGGGTCTTTTTCTTAATGGTTAAGACGAGTCTGGTAGAGCAGGAGTCTTCTGATCTGAGGTCCTTTCCCCTTTTTGGCATCTCCACGCACTTTTCTATCCTTGGCTCCTTTCCTCCTACCAAGAAGTGACCCTGCCATGAACATACTTACTCCTGAAGTCATCACCTTTCTGTCTGCCTGTTTTGCTGCCCTCATTCTTGCATCCTGGTTTCCTGGGCAGGGCCCCCAGCCAGAACCCACGAATTCTTCCCCCTTAGATGTATGAACCTCAGAAACATGTGTTCATATGATCCATAGGGAGTCTCTGGCTGCCTTTCTCCCTTTTGCCCAGAAGTGGGGGATTCTGAGCCAAGATACCTTCTTAAACATGCCCAGTTCTGGACTAGTTGGCATTTGTGTCCCATGTCAAGTCCTGGTTCCAGCAGAGTGAGCAGGTGGTCAGAGCCTGTTTCCCAACTGGCAGAGGTTGAGGTTCCACTGATGTTTCCCATTCACCCTTCCCGTGTTGGGTATGGGGCGGAGGAAGCCTGGCCAGGAGACCAGCCCAAGGGTAGGTCAGACAATCTTGGGTCTTTGACCAGAGGGGCAGCTCCAGCAGGCGTGGTGTCCAAAGCTGGGCATAGCATCCTCTCTGCAGCCATGGACCTCAGCCAAGGTATTGCCCATGGGGTGAGGGCCCCAGGCCTGCCAGGCCTCCTGCCATGAGAATATAGCACTCTGTCTAGCAACCCCCCCCCCCCCATGACATTGCATTCAGTCTGGCTCTTAAATGTTTATCATTTGCTCTTGAGAAGTCTTACAAAGACCACTGAAAGTTGGGAGTTGGAAGGTGAACTCTTCTATCTTTGAATGTTTTAGGTCCCTTAAGCCCTCCTTGCCATTCTCCATCTGCCTTGCACTGCCAGCTGGGTCCCTGCTCAGGCTCTGGGACTTTGACTTCTCTGTCTGGTGGGAGCCCAGCCTCCACTGAGCCACTGCCAAGCCTACTTCCCAGGCTGGGGGGAAGGGCCAGGGCCCCTGGCAGGAGCCAGCCCCACAGGGAGGTAAGGAGCCACTGCCAAGCTCCTGTGCCCCCAGGTGCTGACATGGGCCTGCAGGGTGTGGGGCCAGGGGGTCCTCCCCCAGACCCCTTTCTCAATCATGTGAGATGTGTGTCTGTGTGTATGTGTGGCACTATTAGAAGTGTTTGACAGAGTGCAGATGTGAGCTCAGTGCTGGGAAAATATCAAGGGCTATTGTAATTAAAAAATGTAGCTTTATTTTTTCCTTACAAGTGGGAAACCCAAAGCTCTGCTGATTTCCTGCCACGGCCCAATAGGGACCCCTCTCTCACATAGGCCAGACAGTTTTTTGAGGACAGCCATTCAGCCCCCCGCCGCTGAGCTCCCACAAGGCTTCAGATGTTCTTTCCCTTTCAACCCTGAGAGGTGGCTTCTAGCACAGCCTTCCTGGGAGCTCTTTCGGGTGAAGGTTGGATATACAGAGGTGGCATTGTTGCCCCCTTGGCCAGGAGCACAGAGGAGCAAGTCTAAGCCTCTCTCTTATCTTAGTGGCCTGGGTGGTGGCAGAATTCATCAGCTCCTTGTCTTCAGTCTGCTCCTCTGCAAAATGACAGACGTGCACTGACATTGTGATGTGAGGGGAAGACAGCAGGCACTTAAGGCTGGTGCTCTGGGGACTCACAGCTTCCAAGGAGGGGCCGGGACAGCCTTTGCCCTGCAGATCTGCCAAGCACCTGATGCTTGCCTGTGGGAAAGGCAAGATGGACTGCGGGCATTGGAGGAAACGTCCCCAGCCCTCTAGACTTTGACGCCTCAGCACTTTCTGCACTGATGTCAAACTCTTTGTCCAGAAACCAAATCATTAAAAAGTGGAAAGAAATCTGCCTTCTGTGTACCCCACTGCCCCTTCATCCCCACTCTGTCCCCAGATGAGATCATTGCATCTTGACCTAGGAGCATAGAGAGGGGGAGGGGGTTGGCAGCCATTCCTACTGCCCTCTGCCCTCTGCCCTGCTCTCTAGCAACAGGTGCCATTTACATTTTGTCCCCTGGCAGCCTCGCCCTGCCCTTGCTCAGCTCTGGCTTAGGGCAGGGAAGACCTTTCTGTTTAATTTCTGAAGCAGAGAGAATGATCTCAGAGTTCGAAAATGAAGTCTTTTTTGCACTTTCATTCACATGCACTTTGGTGGGATTACATTTTTGTACTTGCCTCTCTTGTGTGCATGTGTGTGTGTGTGCGCGTGCGTGCGTGCGTGCTTTAAGAGGATCTCTGGCTTAAGCTGCCTCTTGAGGAGAGTTATAAATAAAATGTTATGTAATTTGTCAGTGTATCAAAACAACTTAAATAAACTTGAACAACTGATGATATGTGGCCAGTGTCTTTATCTGTTTTTGTGGTAAAACATCCAGAAAACTCAAACTGATTATCAGTGTCATTACTGAAGAGACAAAAGTGTTCTCTTTACTATTAGTTAGGGGTCTTAAAGAATCTTATTTTTGGCTGGGTGCAGTGGCTCACACCTGTAATCAATCCTAGCTCTCTGGAAGGCCAAGGCAGAAGGATTGCTTGAGTTCAGGAGTTGGAGACCAGCCTGAGCAAGAGCGAGACTCTGTCTCTACTAAAAAAAAAAAAAAAATTAGCTAGGTGCAGTGGCGTACACCTGTATTCCCAGCTACTGTGGAGGCTAAGGCAGGAGGATCGCTTGAGCCCAGGAGTTTGAGGCTGCAGTGAGTTATAATGATGCCACTGCATTCTAGCTGGGGTGACAGAGCAAGACCGTCTCAGAAAAAGTGTTTTTAACTGAAAGATGGAAGAACAGCTGTATAAGCTTATTATTTAAACACAAGGAAGCAGTTAAAAAGGGAGGAATGGAGCAAGGAACTGGTCATTTCCACCGAGTAGTCCTATTTGATTCTGAATTTTGTGTATTTATCACTTTCTGAAATTTTTTTTTTTTCCAGAAAGAAAATCAGGGCCCATGTCTGGTCTGTATGCAAGCTCTGTTGACCCAAGCATCCTGCTCCCAGCCCACATGGGCAACAGATTTTTCTGTACAATGCCGTGTCCATTATTACCTTTGCCTATGGAGAAATCTGCAGGTGAGGGTTGGGGTAGGAGTAGGGCTGGGGCAGACCAAGGACAGAAAAGTGGGCTGAGGAATGTCAAGGTGGAGGGAATATTCATGGAGGTGTGTTCCTGTTGGTTCAGTGTCTTGCTTCCCCCTTCTTATCCCTGGACATGTCTGACCTTCATGCCTAGACTGTGAAATCCAGCCAGGGTGGAAAGGGAAAGAAGAAGGAAGAGAGGAAGTTGGGAGGAGATGCATATCTGCAGTGGCCTCCTGCACGAGTGGCCCTGGCAATTTTCTGCAGCGTTGTTGAGGGGAAAGGGCACATTCTAGCACTGCTGGTAGCCATGTCAGTTGGCACAACCTTTTGCAGTAACTTGGTAGCTAGGTCAAAATTAACCTAGCACTCTCCCTTAAATAAGAGTTTATCAGACAGAAATACTAGCATAGGGCCACAGGATATTAACACAAAGATGTTCTCTGCAGCTTTGTTGGAAATATCGTGAAACTGGTAACAGCCTAAATGTCCATCAGCAAAGGAACAGAGAATAAGGGATAGGGACAGTGAAATTAACCCCACACCATGTATGCAGTATGATGAAGCTTCTAAGAAAAAAGAAAAATATTTCTAAAGATACAAAAAAAAGATTCTTAAAAAAAGAATCTTTCCATGTGACATGAAAATATGTATGTGAGGGAAAAAAGTTGCTGAACTGATATATACAGTATGGCTGTTTTTCTGGGAAAAAAATATCTGCAGGTATGTAGACTAGAACACAGACAAAAGTCTGGAAGAACTGTCACCCTTTAGTTCACGGCAGCTACCTCTGGAAATGAGATTGAAGATGGGCTGGAGGGGAAGCTTTCACTTTTTTCTTGACATTCTGTGAGTTGAAATTCTTTGATTGCAGTTTAAGTAATCAGTACCATTGTGTGGATTTTTTTTTAAACCAGCGCTGAGAGGGGCGGGGAGGAGGAGCTTAGTGAAGCAATAGCAGCAGGAGCTCTGGAGAGGGGCAGGACCCTGGGCGCTGCTCTGATTTGCTCTGTGCACTTGGGCTGCTCCCCTTTCTGGGTAGGGGCCAGACACATGCAGATTCATGGTGTGTTGGTGGAGGTAGGGAGTGTGGCCATACAGGCGCCTCTGGAGCACGTCACAGCAGCCTGTCTTTAAGGCATTAGAATGCCTGGAAGGTTGTAGACAGTTTAATGAAAAGGCAATGGATTGAAATAATGTCTTTTGCAGCAACTTGGATGGAACTAGAGACCATTATCCTAAGTGAAATATCTTAGGAATGGAAAAACACCACACCTACTCTCTAATAATTGGGAGCTAATCGATGGGCACACATGGGCACAAAGAGCTGTAGAGGTCACTGGAAATCAAGAGGGGGAGGGGCCGAGGAGGGGAGGAATAAAAACCTACCAGGTACAATGAACACTATTTGGGTGACAGGCACACTAAAAGCTGCAACTTAAGCATTATAAAAGGTGTCCACATAACAAAAACATTTGTACCCTCTTAACATGAATTAATTAATTTTATTTAATTTGAATTAATTAATTTAAAAAAGGCAACGGAAGCAGCAGTATGGAAGTCTGGCTCTGAGGTGCCTACTGAGGAGGGATCACTGGGCAGAGCTTTTCTCACCTGTCCAGTGGGCCAGGCCCTGCCCCTGCCCTGAGCTAGAACCCAGGGCAGCTTTGGGGCCACCATGAGAAAGCCTTCCTTCCGTGCTCGCAGGGGCAAGCTGAGCTCTGGTCCCTGAGCCTCAGCTTTGTGCAGGGCAGAGTGGGGCATAGGTTTCCGCTCCGCTGTGATTCTCCTCCCAGGGCAGTGCCAGCGCAGGTGAGCTCTGGGTGGCAGCCTTTGGCTCAACACAACAGGATGCCAGAGGCTGGCTCAGGAGGGAATGAGCTGCCCATCCCTGGAAGTGTCCTTGAAAGGGCTAAACAGAGGCTGGTGGCCCCATCAGGGGAGGGGTGGAGGGGAGAGTTGTGTGAGACAGGCCCTTCGATTGCCAGCTCTCCAGGTTCTAAGAGAAGGGGAAGGTGATTCAGCGGATGGAATCAGGGAGGGCTGTGTGGAAAAATCAGTGTTTGAGCTGGACCTTGAGAGGGTGGGGTGATTCCAGTGTTGAAAGGGACATCAGAGACCCACCCTCAAGGCAGAACACACACCATCTTCACTAATCCGTAGGAGGCTGGGGGAGCTGAAGTCGCCTGTCCAAGGTCACACAAGTTGTGCAGTAGCTTTTAAAAGTTCAGAGGGTCCCTAGGGCAGGGCCGTCCAGAAGCCAGTGGGTGCAGCCAGCATGGTATTCCAGGCCCAGTGGTTAATTAGTAACCAGAGGGCCCTGAAGCCAACTCCCAGCTGGCAGGGCTGGGAGGTTGAACTTGAGCCGGTTTGGGAGACTGGGCGAATGGGTGACAGGTCGCTACTGACTGGAAAGGTTGCTCTGCACGTCAGGATTGGGTTTCAGGTCAGAGGACCATGCAGCGAGAGCGGAGGGCAGAGCTGTGCTTGAGGCTGCTCCCCAGGACCTGAGCTGGACCCAGAGCTTTCAGGTGAGAGGCTCACCCGTGAGCAGGACACCTGCCTGCTAGCCTATTGGTCTGCCAAATTGACTAACTAGCTCACTAGTTCCCTAGCTCACCCTTTTCCTAACTACTTACTTTCTTTCCTTCCTTTCTTCCTGCCTGTCTTATGTCCCCTTTCCCTCCTTTCTTTCCTTCCCTCCCAACCAACTCTGCTTTCTCAGCTGCCTAAATGTCTTCCTCCTTAACTAACCAACTTACACCCTCACTTCCCACTAAATGCATTCCTTACTAACTTTCTAACTTCTTCCTGAAATTCCAGGCCTTGGGCTCTGGAGTCAGGCTGCCCGGGTTCAAATCCTAGTTATGTCATTTATTAACTATATGTCTTGATCATGTCACTTCCCATCTCCATGCCTCAGTTTTCTCCTCCTCAAGACAGGGATGATGATAGTTCCTGTCCCATAGGGTTGTAGCAACAAAGTAAGATCAAGCTGGCACTTTGAGCTGGGCCAGCAGGTGGAGTGAAGACAGGTGTAACAACAGAAGGGGGGCATGTGATCAGGAAGTGGTCTGGCTTCCAGGGAAGGCAAATGAGACCAGACAAAAGGGTTAGCCCAGCAGACCCGGTTGGTTGGAGGAATGTTCCAAGCAGAGAGAACCATGTGACACCACCGCTCCCCACCCTATTCAGCACGTCCAGGGAGATGTAAGCAGGTCCATGTAGTGATGGGACAGAGAGACACAAGTCTAGGCTGCAGCAAGTTAGGGGAGGGACAGGCTTGATGGCTTATGGAGGGGCTTGGGTGTCCCCTTGGGAGTTCACAGGGGCCTCTATAGGTCTGAAGAGTTAGGAGAAGATACTGATGCCCAGCCTCTGGCCAGAAAAATCAGAAAGCAGCGGTGCAAGAGAGAAGAAAGCCTTAGGAACTGAGAGCTGCGCAGGTGTGGGGTCACAGTCAAGGTGATGGGGGAGGGTAGTGACGGGCCCTGGGCATGCCTAAGTTCCCACTAGGACTTTGTCCTGAAGTACTAACTGCACAGCAATGTCTTGAAAAATTTTACACAACAGTATAAAGATATTATAAAAATAAAAATAACCTCACCCAAGAACCCACTGTTGCCTGGAGGCGTGATTCTCCACCCTTTTTGTGTGTGTCTCTGGCTATACACACAATGTATATGTGCATGTGTGTCTCTTTTTTTTTTCTTTTACAGAATTGGTATTCCTAGTACACCTACCATTTTGAAACTTGCTTTTTTGCTTGGCATTGTATCATGTATATGTTCCTGTTTGATTTATGTAGGCTTACATATTATTTTTTGTTGTTGTGTGGTTTTCCATTTTGTATATGCACTGAAATTTTATCAATTCATTTCTTGATTCATCAGTCAAACACGTACTGAGCACCTACTGCATTTCAGGCCCTGTGCTAGGTGCTGGCGATTCAATAGCAGCCCCCATGGAGCCGATGTTCTAGTTTGAGACAAAGCCAAATAGTTGTATAAAAGGCATCAGAGACTGATAAGTGCTACAAAGTAAAATATAAAGCAGAAGAAGTGGGTATGGAATGAGCAGGACCGGCATCGTAAAGCGACTACCCATCCTGGTTTTTCCAGGACTATGCCAGTTTTAGCACTGAAACCCCCAAGTCCCAGGCAAACGGGGATGACTTGTCACCTGTAATCAGCACAGGCTTCTCCAAGAGGGGACATTTAGGCAGAGACCTCTGTGATGTTAGTGGAAGCCAGCCATGCAGATGCCTGGGGAAGAGTGTTGTAGTCAGAAGGAAGAGGAAGCGCAAGGACTTGGAGGCCAGAGGGTACTTTCATGTGTTCAAAGGACAGTAAGAGAATGCCAGAGAGGCTGACGGTGGTCAGGAAGGGGTCGACGGAGGCTGGAGTTTGTGAGCTACCAAGACACATGATGCGATTTACATTTTAAAAGACTCACTGTGGTTTTCAGTGGAGAAAGACTGCAGTGGGTAAATCTAGGAGCAGGAGCTGCGTTCGGTGGCTCGTGCCTGTAGTCCCAGCTACTCGGGAGGCTGAAGCAAGAGGATCACTTGAGCCCAGGAGTTTGAGACCAGCCTGGACAGCATTGTGAGATCCTGCCTCTAAACAATTTTTTTTTTTTTAAAAAGAGAATAGTGAAGCAGGGAGTCAGTGAAAAATCTATTGCAATAATCCATGCAAGTGAGGATGGAAGCCCAGGCAGGGTACTGCAGCAGCAATGGTGGTGAGCATCAGTGGTTTCTGGATATATTTTGCATGGGAGCTCACAGTGGAGTGCAAGTGGGATGAGGATACAGGTTTCTAGAATGAATTCCAAGTTGCTGGCTTGAACTTGTGAGCAGGGGGTAGTGGCATTACTGAGCCAGAAGACTGAAGGAGGAGCAGTTGGGGGCAGACTGGAAGGAATGTGAGGGAAAGCCTTTGTTTGGTTTTGCTTTTCATTTTGTTCTCTTTCTGAGACAGAGTCTCGATCTGTTGTTGCCCGGGCTACAGAGCCATGCTATCAGCCTTGCTCACAGCAACCTCAAACTACTATGCTCAAGCGATCCTCCTGCTTCAGCCTCCCAAGTAGCTGGGACTACAGGCATGTGCCACCATGCCTGGCTATTTTTTTCTGTTTTTAGTAGAGACGGGGTCTCACTCTTGCTCAGCCTGGTCTCGAACTTCTGACCTCCAGCGATCCCCTCGCCTTGGCCTCCCAGAGTGCTAGGATTACAGGTGTGAGCCACGGCTCCAGGCCTACAAAACCTTTGTTTTGGACATGTGAAGACTGAGATATCACTAGAAATCTAACTGGTGAATTGTCGAGGAAGCAGTTGGGTGTATAAGTTCAGGAGTGAATTGGAACTAGAGAGATAAATTTGGGAACTGTGGAGTATAGTTGGTTAAGCCACTAAACTGGTTGCAATCAACTAGGGGACAAATGTAGATAGAAGTCCAAGGACCAAGCCCAGGGACCAAGCCCATGTTTAAGGATTTAAAAAAGGAGAAGAACCCAGCACAAGCGGTGGAGAAAGCAGTCAGGGAGCTAGAAGGAAAGCCAGGAGCTTCCAAGGCCAAGTGGGTAAAGTGCATGTGCCAGATCCTTAGAGAAGCTGAGTGAGATGAGGACAAAGGACGCATCGCTGGCTTTGTCACGTGAAGGTCCACAGTTTCACTGGAGTGTTGGGATGAAAGCTTCTGGAATGGGCTCAAAAGGGAAAAGGGAGAGGAGTGGAGATGATGAGTCCAGACAAGTCTTTAGAGAAGTGTAACTGAAAAGGGGAACGGAGGAGCAGGACGGTATCTGGACACGGCGTGGGGTCAAGAGGGAGGGCTGCTACAGCCGCAGATATTCGGAAGTGCCCTGTGGTGGGACGTCCCACTATCATTGCTGTTATAAATAGTGCTGATGAATGAAGGCCCGCCCCATCAGGGTCTTGTTTTTGAAAAGAAATGTCCTTGTTCTGGGTGTGTATTTTGTCAACATGACATCCTGCTGATCATGTGTTTGTTCAACATTTCTGTTTTGTTGAAAGGTAGAAGGCTCTGACATTGCTCACTCAGGTGTCCCCAGCATTTCAGATCCTGCAAAGAACCCCTGAGGCTGCTTGGCTCAATTCCCGCCCTGACCAACCCCCTTGGCCCCAGCCCCATGGGTCCCCCTCCTGGAGTGGTGTAGCCACACCAAAAGTTCCAGAAGGGCAGAGGCTGTGTTAGGGCCATCAAATCCTTCCTTCCCTAGAACACCTGCCCGCCCGCCTCTTGGAGCTCCTGGGGAGAGGAATGGTCCCCACGAGTCCCTAACGACCGCTCCAGTGAGCAAGACCTTCATGAGTCAGGGTGCCCGCTGGGACCCTGCTTCTTACGCCGCAGGAGAGCTGTGGGCCAGCTGGGCCTGCCCCGAGGACTGGGCCAGGGCCCTGTAGGGGCCAACAGGAAAAGGCCTGAAGGGCCAAGTGCTTAGCAGTCAAAGACCAAGGCAGCCGGACTCAGCCAGACACTAGGCTCCTGGTTCCTCTGAAACATCTGCAGGTCTTGGGCAATGGGGGGCTCTCAGCCACCATGGCCGAGGTCTGTGGGACCTCATCGTCGCCCCAGATGGTCTTTACCAGGCCTGCACAGGCCTCAGTGATCATATCTTCTTACAACAGGCCCCTACACACACACACACACACACACATACTCAGAAATGTACTGATACACACCAATATGGACACAGACACACCATGACGTACCTATATGCAAACAATGTGGTTTGTGTGTAGGTATGTCACACTCCACATGCTGAGAAGCGCAATGATGCACCCAGCCACTGTGCACATACACTGGCATAAAAGTACAGACGTGGCCACGCTGACACACACAGCAGCCTTCTATACAAACTCACACACCGACACACATACCTGCCGTACAGAGCCGCGCTGACACACACAGCAGCCTTCTATAAAAACACACACCGACACACATACCTGCCGTACGGAGCCGCGCTGACACACCGGACAGACACACTGAAGCACATCTACGCACACGACACTTGCACACGTGCACCGCACACCACACACACCCTGGCCTGCACAGTCACACACATTCTAACAAGCCCCAAGGTCTCCAGGGCTCTCCTGGGGCTGTTGCCCACCCCTTCCACTCCACCCCTCAGGGGAGATGACGTCCCGGAGGGAACAGAGATCTCCGGTCCTATCTTAAGCGCTGCTGGATCCCGAGTGACGTCAGCCAGTCAGTCCCCTCGCTGCTGCCGGGAGCTGCGAGCTCTGTGCTGGGGCCAGGCCGGCACCAGGCACCGACACTTCGACACTTCGGCCCTTGTTGGGAAAACAGAGAGAGGCTCTCTTGTCCGCTGCCTGTCTTCAGCAACCACTGCTGGTTCTCCCAGAGGCTTCTCAGGCCGTGCAGGTAGGTAACAGCCAGGGAGGGCAGGGCCTGGCAGCAGGCCATCGGGGACAGCCCAGGAGAGCGTGTGCAGTGTGCTGGGCTGTCTGCAGGAGCGCAGGCCGACGGTATCCGCTGGAGCCAGGCTGAACGCCCTATTCGGCAGTTCTGCAGCTTGCTGTCTTCGGGCTTGCAGGGGGGGATCCCTTCCCGTACCCTTCACTTTCTCGGTTCCCAAGGAAGCCATGTGGGGGTGCATCTAGGAACCCCCTTGTAAAGATGGGCAGTCTCTAGCCAGAGAGGCTGGGCTGCAGCCCACACCCCACAGTGGGCCAAGCCTGTGGTCTTGGGATGCACAGTGCCCAGCAGCCCCTGCGAGCAACTGGGCTCTCAGGTGAGATCTCTGCTCTTGGCCTTGGCCTTCCAAGCAAAAATGAGGCTTTGGGACCTCAAATACTCTGAGCCAGGGTCTGGGCACCCTGGCCTCCTCCACTGGAGTTGGGGGCAGTGGGCAGGGAAGACACTGTGCTCCTGGTTGCCTAGAACAGCGGGTCACACCCTCTGCTGTTGACCAGTCTTGGGCCACACTGTGGCTCTGGCCCGAGGCCCCCAGGTCAGCTTCCATTGCGGCAAGGAGATAATAGCCAACACGGAGCCCAGCTGGGACTGTTCACGGTAATTCAGGATTGCCAGCATGCCGGTATGGAAGTCTGGGGAGCCTAGCCTGCCCCTCCCATATTGTGTGGCCCTAGGAAAGTCCTTTGCTAGGCCTCGGGCTCCCCCCTGTGAAGTGAGGGGAAGGGTTCAGATGTTATGCCCTGCAAGGGGCCTTCCAGCCCTGGCCATGCTGGATTCCTGGAGCTGCCCCAGCTCACAGGGGTCTTGCTGCCCTGGATGTCCCCAATTCTGGAAAAGACTCAACCTGGCAGGGGCCACGCCCCTCCAGCCCTCCAGATATGTTTGGTTAAAGAGGTTGGGTCCAGGAGCTGTCACTCCTTGTCCCATCAGGTGCAGGGGTTGGGAGGACTGAGAGGACAGTGGTGCCTGAAGTCCCGGAGGGGTGACATTGACCCACCAACACCAGCTCTCTCATGCCTGCTGTTCCCTGTGCCCCCAGAGAGCCCACCTGATCACTGCCACAGAATGGACTCCAGCCTGGCCGGGGCTCCCAGTCCACAGGTGAGTGGCTCTTGGTCCCCCACTCGTCACCAGGGGGCTCCACTTCCTCCCAAGGCTGAGGATCTGTAGAGACACCAGCGAGCCCCACGGGCTGTCCCAGACCAGGACTGGGGGCCAATGGGGGCCACCGTGAGCACACAGGATTGGGCCTCTTGCAGGGTATAGAAAGAAGAGATGTAAGCAAGGGCTTCAAGAAATAGATGGCGCCAGGCACGGTGGCTCACGCCTATAATCCTCGCACTATGGGAGGCTGAGGTGGGCGGACCACTCAAGGTCAGGAGTTCGAAACCAGCCTGAGCAAGAGCGAGACACCGTCTCTACTATAAATAGAAAGAAGTTAATTGGCCAACTAAAAACATATATAGAAAAAAATTAGCCAGGCATGGTGGCACATGCCTGTAGTCCCAGCTACTCAGGAGGCTGAGGCAGGAGGATCGCTTGAGCCCAGGAGTTTGAGGTTGCTGTGAGCTAGGCTGGTGCCATGGCACTCTAGCCAGGACAACAGAGTGAGACTCTGTCTAAAAAAGAAAAAGAAAAGAAATAGATGGGCTTCTTTCTTTGAGGAACCAAGATGTTCTTTCTTACTTGTTAGGATCTAGATTAAAGGATAATCTCATCAAATTGTTAGAAACAACTTTAAAAAATAGAGTAACAAATATTTTATTCACATATAGACAGTTTGCACTGTGAAAACAATGTTACATTAAAAAGAATCTGAATATTTTGAAATTATATGGTTGGTAAAAAAAAAAAAAATCCATGGTGTAGAAAAGCCATGGGCTTGGTGGTGAGGACAGCTGGCCTAATCCCAGCTCGGTTGCCTGTGAGACCTTGGACAACTCTCTGGGCCTGTGTCCTCACCTGTACAATTGGCACAGCAGCCAGCAGCCTCCCAAGGCTGTTGTGCAAAGCAGGTAAGGTGGTGGGGGGAAGTTGGGGGGTAAGGGGGCTGGGTAGGTGGGGTGGGTAGATGGGTGGAAAGGAACAAGGAAGGAAGGAGAAAAGAAGGAAGGAAGCCTAGCAGAGTTGTTGGAGAAGGAATCAGGGCCTGGGCAGCGGGAGGACAGAGGGCCCAGGGAGTAGGGTCTTGCTGATCTTAATCAACTCTTTGTTTACTGTCTTTAGCCCTCCAGGGCCAATGGGAACGTCCACCTGGGGCCTTCAGCCAACCCAAAGTGAGTTTGGGTCTCTCAGGGAACTTTCTTACCTGGCTCCCCTCTTACCTGGCTCCCTAGCCTGAGAACAGAATCCAAGTTCTCTGGTCTAGCATTCGAGACCCTCTGCCATCTGGGCCCAGGACAGTCCCCAGCTTTACCTCCCACCAATTCCCCAGCTTTTGCCCTTGGTGAACCCGCTGCCTGCAGTGCCCCCCAAATGTCTGCATTGTGAGCAACTCTCACCTTTAGGCCCTTCTCAGGGTTTTGGGGGTCAGATCCCTGTCTTCTCTGCAGGCTGTCTGGTTTTATCTGCACCTTGTCTGCTGTTAACTTGAATGTGAGCTCCCCTGGGGCAGGGGTGAGTCTTACAAGCCCTCTGTCAGCTGGAGGAACATGGTGTTCTTCAGGGGCAAGGGCATGTGGTTCCTGGAAGGCTCCTTGCATTTCCCAGATCTACAGATAAAAAGGGTTTGTTCTTGGGTGCCAGGGTTTGTTCTTGGGTGCCAGGGTTTGTTCTTGGGTGCCAGGTTTCCAGAGCTCGACAATGCTGATCAGAGTTTTCCCTCTTCCCCCAGTGCCAGGCCCACAGACTTCGACTTTCTCAAAGTCATTGGCAAAGGGAACTACGGGAAGGTGAATGACTTGAGTAGGGTGGGGGGCCCGGGTCTCCCTACTCTTCCTCTCCTGCCCCTGCCTGCCATGCGCCTGCAGATGGAAGCAGGGTCAGCAAGAGGCCCTATGCCATTGGGAAGTCCAAAGTCACCTTAAGGCCTTGCATTTGTGCTTCTGCTCAGGTCCTACTGGCCAAGCACAAGTCTGACGGGACGTTCTATGCAGTGAAGGTGCTGCAGAAAAAATCCATCTTAAAGAAGAAAGAGGTACCAGAGCTTAGGCACAGACATTTCCTCTCCTGCTTCTCCACCCCCAGCCTAGGGTGGCTTCCAAAGATGGGTCCCACCTCTGGGGGGTCCTTGACTCTGGGTACAGAGGTGGTCACAGTGGTGGGTGAGGGGAAGGGGATGCCCAGGAGGCTGACTCTTCTCAACGAAGGCAGGCTGAGCCACCTCGCCCACAGGGCCTTCAGGAAGACCTGTCCTGGCCTCTGCCTTCCCCCAGGACATACAGGGCCCCAAGTGGACCAGTCTTCTGCCCTCTGCAGGTGCCAGGCTCACCACTGGTGCAGTGTGGGCTCGTGTGCTATGCTCTCCAAAGGCCCTCCAAGCCAAGGCCATCCTGGCTTGCTTGATGCCTCTGTTGGCTTGAGTCCCTGTAACACCCAGCGTCGGTAATACGCCAGAGCAGGCCCGGAGAGAGGGCTGACTGTGAAGTCAGGGGACTCAGGAAAGACAGTGATTGATGTTAACAAGGACATCGTGGGTGTGGGAAAAGGAGGTCTTCCTGAGGAAGGCAGCCTTGCAGCTGGCCTTGAGGATAAGAGTCCAATGGTCTGAAAAGAGGGTGGGACGTCCAGGCAGGAGAAACAGCACGAGCAAAGGCATGAAAGTGGATCATGCCCGGCTTCTTTTCCCACAGAGGTTTTCCTTGGGACTCATTTACATCATCATCAAACATGCTTTGCTTTTCACCTGGGGAGCAGGGGCTCCAGGGACTGGAGCTGCACCCACATGGAGAGGCTGGGGGTGAGGGTGACCACACTGAGCCCTGAATATTAGGCAAGTAGCCCAGGCCTGGCTCTGAGGGCAATAGGGAACCATAATGGGTGTTTGAGCAGGGGCATGAGAAAGTCCTGGGCAGGACAACTCCCACCAGCAAGGCTGTGTGGGCTGTGGCAGAGTTGGGCCGGGCTGAGTGTCCCCGTGTCTGTGTGACTTCCACAGCAGGCACAGGCGAGAGGCAATGCTCTCAAGAGACTGCGCACCCCTTCTCCGCGGTGGGCCTGCGCTACTCCTCCAGAGCTGAGAAGCTGCTACTTTTGCTGGACGTATGTTCAAGCGGGGGAGGAGTGAGTGGGCCCGGAAGGAGCTCCCTGCCGCTCTTGGCGGGGCTGTCCAAACACATGCCCACGTTGTGAAATTGTGAGATGATCTAGCTGCATCCTTACAACAAACAGGTATTGTTTTTGTTTTTGAAACAAGGATGTCACTGTTGCCAGGCTAGAGTGAGTGCCGTGCGGTCAGCCTGAGCTCACAGCAACCTCGAAGGACTCCCGGCTCAAGCGTCTCGGTGTGCCTGCGAGTAGCTGGATACCAGCATGCACACCGATGCGCCGGTAAGTTGGTTCTGGGATGATAATGAGTGCCATTAATTCTTGATGGAGAACGGGTCGCTGTTCCTAGGCGAGCTCTGCTGCGAGCAAGATCAGCCCAGCCTGTCAGGCCCCCAACGAGGTGACAGGGCGAGGAGCCGGGCGCGGCCCGGCCAACAGACACATTTTGTAGCTGAAGAAACGGAGGCTTAGGAAGTGAATCACTTGCTCAAGGCCACCCAGCCTGTACCTGGTGGATTCAGGACATGAATGCAGGTCTGTCGGGCTCCCATGGTACCTTCTTGGCTCCTTCACCCAAGCTGCCCATAGATTCCCTTTGACAGACCTGGGAAAGGTCAACGCCAAGAGGTGCCCTGTGGTCAGGATGCCCAGTGCTCCCATTTATACCACAGGCCACAGGGTGGTATTGACTGGTCACTGTGGTAAACAGAGACCCGAGGCCACCTGGTGACCCAGAAGCCCAGCTGGGACAAGCAGGGCACCCTCTTGGACTTCACTCGATCGCTCTGAGCAAGATGGCAAGGTCTCGTGGGGTTCCACTCTGTGCCCTTAGATTTAGCCTGAGTGACCTCACGCCTTCAGTCTGATGCTTGGAGGGAGTTTTTGTCCTGCATCCCTAAGCGAAGTGCTTTCTATGCCCGCAAAATAGGCCAAAGCCGTTGGCCCACAGGGACCTCTAACCTGGGCTCAGTTTGATGGCCATAATCATCTTACCGCCTGGATTGGAGGAAAAGCACATCTCTGAACCACCCAGGTTCAAATCTCAGCTCTGCCAATTACAAGCTACGAGACCTTGAGCAAGTCACCTAACCGTTCTGACCCCTGCCAGCTTCCTCTTACATGAGACTGGCATGATATTTGTCCCTTGAAGGTTGTTGTGAGGATTAAATGAACTAAGAGATATAAAAGGGCCTGACTGGGAGCCTGGAATACAGTAGGTGTTTAATTGATGCTAATTAATCTCTTCTCCTGCTGACACTTTGGGCACCCAGGACTGCTGTGTGGGGCGGGGCCAGCATGCTCTGTTTGGTAGGAATATATGGCAGCCCGGAGAGGGGCAGCGAGGCCAGCTGCACAGGGTGGGGTCCTGCCCTCACTCTAGGAGCTGGAGCCCCCAGAGCTCCTCTCACACGCCTCCTCCCCTCCAGCTCTTCTTCCACCTGCAGCGGGAGCGCCGGTTCCTGGAGCCCCGGGCCCGCTTCTATGCTGCAGAGGTGGCCAGCGCCATCGGCTACCTGCACTCCCTCAACATCATTTACAGGTGAGGTGACCTGCAGCTCAGAGCCAAGCCCAGGTTCTTCTTGTTCTAACAGCCAGGGGTTGTACACACCCCTAAATCCTGATGGATCCCAGTGACCTTGGTCCTTTGTTTGGGCTGGAGTTGGGGGCTCCTCTTTCCTAGAGCCTGGTGCCCAGCCTCCCTGGGCTCTTCCTCTGCGTCTTGGGAGCCTCCACACATGGTCCTCCTGCCAGGACCCTGAGTCTCCAACTCTCCTCACGCTAAATGGCTGAGACACCATAGGGCTCTTTTCTCTTATTTTCTGCAGGGACTTGAAACCAGAGAACATTCTCTTGGACTGCCAGGTTGGTGTGTGTATGGACACGGCTGCACATGTGTGCTGACCATGAGTCTGTGCTCTTGGGTGTATGTGCATTGTACATGCATGCATCTGGGTAGAGGATACATTCAAGTACGTGTGTGCATGAGTGTCCATGCACGTGTACACACATGTGTATGAGCATTGTGTGCACATGAGACTGTGGATGTGCATGTGCATGTGCAGACATGTGCACGCGAGGTCTGTGTGGGGCAGGCAGAGCCAGGTGGAGGCTGGTGGATTTCATCTTAGACTGCGTCCCCTGGAAACAGACCCCGAGATGGCGAGGTGAGAGCAGAAGGTTAATTGGGGAACAATCTCAAGAGATAAAATACCTTTAAAGGGGGTGAAGAAAACAGAATTGGGTAGAGGAGTAAGCTCACGTGCATTGTGGTTGCAAGTGAGGCCTCATCTGATCTCCCTGGGGTGGAAAGGGCCTGCGCTGGGATGGCTCCTTAGGACTGTCCCACACTGAGGCAAAGAGGCTGGGCCTCCGTGCCCCTATGTCGACCAGTCACTGGATGTGGATTGCCCCTGGGGAGAGGGGACGACTTTGGGTGCAGGCAGCGTCCTCACAGCAGGGGATGGGCATGGCAGCTTCAGAAGAGCAGATCCGTGCAGAACCTGGGAGTATCCATTCACTCCACCTTCCCGCCCGGCTGCCACAGGGTGTGGCTGCTTTCTGAGTCCCCAGCCCTCTGTTAAGGGGGTGCTGTCCAGCAAGGACATGCTGAAGCTGCCGCTGTTGCAGGAGTGGGTCTCAGACCATGATGAGCTGGGAGCAGACAGTGAAGTGCTGTGTTCTCTGTGCTGCCCGGGAGCCCTGGGTCTGAGCGGAGCCTCCGCCCTGTGCCCGGGCATCAGGTCCTCCTGCTGCTGCCCTGGGGTGTGGCGTCTGGTCTTTAGGGTTAGGCCTGGCCACACCCTTGGATTAGACCATGCTCCTGTCCCTACCCACCCTCATCCTCAGGGACACGTGGTGCTGACGGACTTCGGCCTCTGCAAGGAAGGTGTCGAGCCCGAGGAGACCACGTCCACGTTCTGTGGCACCCCTGAGGTTGGTGTAAAAACCCCAGGAGAGGGCAGGTCAGAGTGGCTGGGACCACAGGTCCTGATTACAGCCAACAGGTCACAGCTGAGGGGACTCACTCTTTTGATTCGAGTGCTTCCCCCAAGCTGACTCTATATGAAGCCTTGGTTTCCTCATCTGTGTAATAATAAGGACACCAGCCCAAGGGCTGCCAAGACCGGGCCAGCTAGCTGCCAGTGAAACTCCACAGCAATTCTGTTGTCCAATGGAAACAGAAACGAGAGCTACATACACAATTTAAAATGTTTCAGCAGCCACATTTAAAAACTAAAAAGGCCAGGTATGGTGGCTCGTGCCCGTAATCCCAGCACTTCTGGAGGCCTAGGTAGGAGGATCACGTGAGGTTAGGAGTTTGAGACCAGCCTGGGCAACATAGCAAGACCCTGACTCTAAAACAAATTTAAAAATTAGCCAGGCATGGTGCCACACACCCTGTAGTTCCAGCTACTCGGGAGGCTGAGGTGGGAGGATGGCTTAAGCCCAGGCGTTCAAGGCTGTACTCTAGCCTGGGTGACAGAGTAAGACCCCATCTCTAAAAAAATAAATAAATGAAAAGTAAAACATAACTGTTGAAATTCATTTTAATGATATATTTTATTTAATCCAAAATATTCTCATTTCAACATACAATCCTATACAATTGTTGAAATATTTTATTGTTTTTTTACTAACTCTTTGAAATCTTACAGCCCATCTCAATGTGGACAGTCACATTTTAAGTGTTAGATAGCCGTGTGGGGCTAGTGGGTGAAGTTCATGTGCAGTAGAAGGGGGTGGCCTGAGAGTTAAGATCAGGGTTTGCAAGTGCAAAACACAGGTCCACCTTCTTTTTTTCAGAGGCTGGAGGGTTAAAATTTGCAGGTCTCAGCTGTAATTCACATGTCTGTCTGTCCTGCCAAGGCCTCCCTGTATCCCTGGAGTTAAAACCTTTCCTTGAACTCCCACCAGTCTTGGACTTTGGACCTGAAGGGGTCCCCCAGTGGCTTGGACAGACGTCAGGGTGGGGGTTGGAGGGCTGAGGCTGCAGACTGGGAAGCTCCTCCCCACCTGGCACGGGACAGGCCTTCAGCTGCTCTGTTTGTCTCCGTATGCTTGGAAAACCAGGTCTTGGATCTGAAGGGCTCCTCCATTTGGTTCTTAGGTAGCCAGTGGACCCTAGAATGACCTCTGAGCAGGAGCCAGTGTCTGTGCTTGTATATGGGGGGTGTTTGCTGGACAAAGCTGGCCCCCCATTGCCTGACAGCCCAGCCATCCCTTTCCTAGATGCTGCTAGGGGTGGGGAGCAGGTGATGTGGAACCCAGGCTTGTGTAGGAGACATGCGGCCCCAACACACCACCTTTTTCATGGCTCAGCTCTGCTGTGGTGCCTGGGAGCACAGACAAGGGTGCTCCCATCGTCCGAGGGCCTCTACCTGTATGAGCACATAATTCTGCATCCCCATTTCATGGCTGAGGAAACCAAGGTTCTGGGAGGTTAAATGACCTGCCGGAGACCACACACCAACAAGGCTCAGGGCTGTGTGTCTCCGCCCTTCCCCAGACCCACGCAGTCTCTCAGGGTGGCTTTGCCTGTGGCTGAGGCCCCTCTCCCAAGGGCAGAGACACCAGGGGAAGAGGGCATCAAGTCCTTTTTTGGCAGGAATCAAAGCTCTGCCTCAGTTCTCTCCTGGTGCAAGGCATGGACACAGGGCATGCATCCATCTGTCAGTATGTCACCTCCTCTTTCCTGACCCTGTCCTCTGTCACTAAGGTTTCCAGCACAAGTACGAGCCACATTTACTTACACTTTGTCCACCAGCGTCCCTCCTGCTCTGTGAGTACTCCCGGGGCTTTTCTGCTCCCAAGACACTGAGAGCCCATCGGACGCTTTGTGCAATCAGAAAAAGGGCCCCGCTCTGGGCAGACTAGTTAGAAAAAGCACCCCTCTAAACAAAAATAAAGTTGCCAAATAGACCTCTGAACTGAGGTTATGGCTTGGCGAGTGGATCATAGTCAGGCTTGCAGGCCCCTTTACCCCTTGGCTGTCCTTTTGTGTGGCTCACAACACGTACGATGGTACAGGGCAGTCCTGCCTGACCTCGTCCACATCCCCAACACATGGCAGAGGGCCTGCACAAATGGATGCTGAGCGAACACGTGCAGAGCCACGGGGCTATCACAGCAGGGTCAGCCCTCCCCGAGCTTCCTCCCAGTGCCTCGTTTACAGATGCGGCAAATGAGGCAGAACAACTTGTTTCATGCAAGTGCGTTTCCTTCCTACAGTACTTGGCTCCAGAAGTGCTCCGCAAAGAGCCGTACGACCGGGCGGTGGACTGGTGGTGCCTGGGGGCAGTCCTCTATGAGATGCTACACGGCCTGGTGAGTGGCGCGTAGCCGTCCGCGAGGGACACCTGGCTCTGGGGTGAGCTAGGGGTGGGTCTCTCCCACATGTGGTCTACGCGGCTCTGCTCGGGGAACTGAACAAGCCATCTCTTCCTTCCAGGCCAAAAGAGAAGATGCCAAAGTGATATGAGGATTATATATACTTTTTCAATAATGTTAGTTTAGCACTTTACAGTTTACATCACACTTTCTCACCTTGGGTGCCTCAAAATAGCCTTTGGAGGTTGACACTGCTGGAAATGGAGTTAGTTTTAGTTTACTGAGAGGGAAACTGAGGCCAAGAGAGGTCACGTCCCAACAAATTGTGGAACCAACCCCCAGGCCACACTGCCGTACTCTGGGTGGTTTCGCCCATGTAGCCTGGTGCCTATGAAGGAGCAGGCTGGGGGGAGGTGGGAGGAGGACCAGCTGGCAGAGGAGTGGCAGGAAGAGCAGCGAGAAAGAGAAGTGGACCCTGAACACGGTTGGGGCCTGGCTCTCTTCCCAGCCGTGTGCACGTAGTTGCTCTGAGCCTTGCCTTCCCATGTGAAAAATCCCAGCCTCTCTCCGAAGACGGTTATGAGGCTGGGATGAAATGATGAAGGTGAGAGTGCAAACTTGGCCAGGTGTGAAGTTGCTGCACAAGCTGGATTAAGAGAGATGGGCCAACATCGCTCTGCATGTTCATTATTAGAGAGAGAGATTGGCCAGGGGATGCTCCCAGAAGTCCACAGCCTCACACTGTGGTGGGGAGAGACTTCTGGCCTTCCCAGCAACCCTCTTCACCACTGTGCTGAGCCTGAAGGTCCTGTCTCTCTCGTCCACCTCGTGAGCCACGGCACAAGACACAGGGCTGGCAGCATCCTCCCAGCTGCCCAGCCTGCTCCCGGTCTCCCTGAGCCTGTGCCCGCTTTCGCATGCGTGATCCTCCAGCTGCTCTCTCTCTCTCACTCACCAGCCGCCCTTCTACAGCCAAGACGTGTCCCAGATGTATGAGAACATTCTGCACCAGCCACTACAGATCCCTGGGGGCCGGACAGTGGCCGCCTGCGACCTCCTGCAAGGCCTTCTCCACAAGGACCAGAGGCAGCGGCTGGGCTCCAAAGCAGACTTCGTAGGTGACCTGCCAGCGCGGCACTGGCCCCTCGTGCGGCTCTCAGTCTCCTGCAGAGGCAGCTCAGAAGCACCTTAACACGTGTCCTCCTGCCCTTTAAAACCAGGAGCTGCTAACTATTTTATCTGGAAATTCACTGCTGCTGCTAACTGACTGCTTTCTTTAGTCCTCTTGGTCAATCAATATTTACTGAGCACCATGTGCAGGTTATAGAGCTTGGTGCTAGGGATTCAAGAGAATGGGTCTCTGTCCTTATTAAGTATAGGAGTGGGAGGATGACAAAAACATTTATACCATTATCACAAAGTGTGACAAGTGGCAGGAAGGAAATGAACCATTAGCTGAGATAGACAATGATTGGAGGGGAACAAATTCACACCAGTGTGACCAGAGAGGTCCTCTCTGAGGAGGTGACAATAAAGCTGAAACTTGAAGGATAAAGGAGCCAGTCATGCATAGAGCTGGGCAAAGGCACCCCAGTCATAGGGCACATGCAAAAGTCCTGTGGCAGGAATGAGGAGCATGGTAAGCTTTAGGGGGTTTTGAGCAGGGGAGCAGCATGACCCAATGTAAGTTTTTAGAAGATTCCTGTGCAGAGAGTGGACTGGACTTGCTTTTTACAAATATCTGAGCACTTCTTCTTTGACAGATCCCAGGCTGGACACCTGGGATACAGAGATAAATAATTCATAGTCCATTCCCTTAACAAATTCATTATATTTTTAAAGTACTTACAGTTATTTAAAGTAGTACTTTAAAAATAATCTAACATTAACACCTGTGAAAGTGAAGCAAAAAAAAAAATCTTACATTCTTTACTCAACACCAGGTAATCTGGATTTTTAAAAAGAAGGCCACAGTACTCTTTTCCCCTAGAAGTTTGTTTTCTTTTCTAGCATCATAGTGTTCAGATGAATGGACTATGAGATGGGCTACCTGGGTTCACATTCCTCCTCTACCACTGTCTAGTTGCAGGACCTTGGGCATATTTCTTAATTTCTCTCTGTGAGCCTCAGTTTCCCCATCTATAATAATAGGAAGATTAAATGAATTAACATACACAAAGCACCTAGACCAGTGTCGAGCACACAGTAAGTGCTTGTTGAATGTCTGTCCCAAGAGCTCTACATGCCACATACTGTGAAGTGTGACATTTAGGGCATTAGCCTGCCTGTCCCTGGCCAGCTTAAAGAACAGGGGCTTCCTGCTGGGCGCCGTGGCTCCCACCTGTAATCCTAGCACTCTGGTAGGCTGAGGCGGGTGGATCGTTTGAGCTCAGGAGTTTGAGGCCAGCCTGAGCAAGAGTGAGATCCTGTCTCTATCAAATATAGAAAGAAGTTAATTGGACAGCTAAAATTATATAGAAAAAATTAGCCGGGCCATGGTGGTGCATGCTTGTAGTCCCAGCTACTTGGGAGGCTGAGGCAGGAAGATCACTTGAGCCCAGGAGTTTGAGGTTGCTGTGAGCCAGGCTGACGCCATGGCACTCTAGCCTGGGCAACAGAGTGAGACTCTGTCTCAAAAAGAAAAAAAAAAAGAACAGGGGATTCCATGGAGATAGGCCCCTTCCTTCCAAGTGGAAGTTTGCATCTTAAAAAACATGTATGACTTTTAAAATAAATTATATACATTCACATAGACCAAGATTCAAAGTGTATAAAAGAACATCTAGAAAAAAATCTCTCCAGCCACCCAGGTCCCTCGGTTCAGAGGCAAACAATGTTGCCAATTTCTAGGGAATTCTTCTGGAGATATTTTGGATCTGGCTTTTTTTTTTTTTTAAGTATATATTTAGGGGATACAAGTGCAATTTCATTACAGAGATGTACTGTGTAGTGGTAAAGTCTGGCCTTTATTTATTTTTATATTTTGTAGAGAGGGGGTCTTGCTATATTGCCCAGGCTGGTCTTGAACTCCTGGCCTCAAGTGTTCCTCCCCACTTCGGCCTCCCAAAGTGCTGGGATTACAGGCCAGAGCCACTGCACCCAGCGCTAGTTGGGCTTATAGTGTAGCCATCACCCAAATAGTGTACATTGTACCCATTCAGTAATTTCTTATCCCTCAAGCCCCTCCTACCCTTCCAAGTCTCCAATATCTATTATTCTATTCTCAGATCTGGCTTTTTAGCCAGCCCACTGCAGGGTCTGGTACAGGGAGTTGGGGAATCATTTTTTGGGAAACACAGATAGAGAGTAGGTCCTGCTACGATGAGAAGAAGTTGGTGCCAACATTGATTTTAATTCAGAAAGAAATGGTGAATCATGCCCAGGTCCGATTCTTAAATTGTGAGTCTCTGGGAATCTACAGGTTTTCTTGGGGCTTTAACTTCTCAAACCTTCCTTAGTGAGTTGATTTGGTCGTCCATTTCTCTGGTTTGCATTCTGGAAGACTCAAGATGTACCGAGGCAGAATGAGGGGAGGGTCCCCAAGCACCCCTTGGGAGTTCCCCCTCCCCACCTAGAACAGGTTCCGCTGTCTTGCTCAGTGACATGCCTGCAAAACCTAGAACACTGTAGGAGCTCAGAGAAGGTGCACAGTAAATAGTTGTGGAATAAACAGATGCTATGGGGGAGAAGGGTTTGGGTTCTGGATTATGGGAGAGGCTTGGCCGTGGGATGATCTCCCGTCCCAGGAAACCAGCCAGAACTGCAAGTTACTTCCCAGTGGACAGCCAGTTACTGGTAGAGTTGGGGCTCTAGCGGATGTGCGGGTGGGGTGGAGCGCCTGTGGGGAGGGTACTTCTAACCAGCACCTTCTTCTTTCAGCTCGAGATAAAGAATCATGTATTCTTCAGCCCCATAAACTGGGACGACCTGTACCACAAGAGGCTAACTCCCCCCTTCAACCCAAATGTGGTAAGAGGTCCCCGCATTTCTAGATTCTGGGTGTCCAGGAGTGGTGGGAACTTGGTATATGGGCCAGCTTTCTTTATGCAGATGGGGAAACTGGGGGGCCAAGAGGCTCATGGATTTGTGCAAGGCCACGCAGTAAGCGTGAGGCATAACTGGCTCTAGCCCCCACAAGTCCTGTTGCTAGCTCAACTCTTGGGTGACAGCTGCCGCCCTTGATTGTCAGCACCAGTAACCCTCACCGCAGAGTTGTTCATGGGTTTTATTTTATTTTTTTATTTTTTGAGACAGAGTCTCACTCTGTTGCCCAGGCTAGAGTGCTGTGGCATCAGCCTAGCTCACAGCAAACTCAAACTCCTGGGCTCAAGCCATCTTCCTGCCGCAGCCTCCTGAGTAGCGGGGGCTACAGGCATGCGCCATCATGCCCTGCTAATTTTTTTTCTATATATATTTTTTGCTGTCCAAGTAATTTCTTCCTATTTTTAGTAGAGACAGGGTCTCGCTCTTGCTCAGAGCTGGTTTTGAACTCCTGACCTTGAGCGGGCCTCCCAGAGTACTAGGATTACAGGCATGAGCCACCGTGCCCAACCCATTCATGGGCTTTAAAGTGCTGTGTCATGTAGCACACCCAGACAGAGCCAAGCCCTACAGACATGTTTTATCTTTTTCTATTTGTAGACTTTTTCCTGATAACAAAGATAATATGTATTCCTTGTAGAACTTGTATAAAGCAGAGGAGTTTAAAGCAGCATCAGGGAAATGCTTATTATCTTACTACCCAAGATACTCACTACTAGTCTTTTTTCTATGTGTCTTTTTTTTCACATAGTTAGGTCATACTTTATAATACCTATCTGTGTTTGTGTGTATGTGTGTGTTTGTCTTCCCCCACTCATTTAAAAATTATTTATTTATTTGAATGACTGGGTCTTACTCTGTCACCCAGAGTGCAGTGGCACGATCATAGCTCACTGCAGCCTTGAACTCATGGGCTCAAGCGAGCCTCCCAAGTAATTGGGACTATAGGCGTGCACCACCGTGTCTGGCTTCCGTTTTTTTTTTTGTTTTTTTTTTGGCTAAAAACTGTTATCATTTCCATATGTCATATAAACCTTTATAAATATAGTTTTTAGTGGCTGCATAATATTTCAATCTTATGTTGGTAACATAATTTACTCAACCATGCTCCTAATTGTGAACTTTGGGCTGTTACCATTTTTTTTCTCTCTATCATAATGTGCTGACGAACATTTTTAAGTATATGTCTTTGCCCAGAGTTCTGGTCATTTCCTTAAGCTGGATTCCAGATGGGGAATTGCTAGGTCAGAGAATGTGAACGGTTTTAGGTTCCCAATTCAGGCTGCCTGTCCACTGTGCGGAAGGGAAAACCACGTGTTTCCCACCAGCGGCGCCTGCTGGAGAGCTCTCCTCTTTCTCGCCCTCTGCAGCATCATGTGTTGTTGTTATTGTTTTTTGTTTTGCAAATTTGGTAAGGGAAAAATGGCATCTCATTGTTTTCATTTATATTTCTTCGATTTATGGTGAAGGTGATTAGTTTTTTTTTGTTTGTTTGTTTGTTTTTTTGAGACAGAGTCTCACTCTGTTGCCCAGGCTAGAGTGAGTGCCGTGGTGTCAGCCTAGCTCACAGCAACCTCAAACTCCTGGGCTCAAGCAATCCTCCTGCCTCAGCCTCCCGAGTAGCTGGGACTACATGCATGCGCCACCATGCCTGGCTAATTTTTCTATATATTTTTAGTTGGCCAATTAATTTCTTTCTATTTTTAGTAGAGACAGGGTCTCGCTCAGGCTGGTTTTGAACTCCTGACCTTGAGCGATCCTCTCCTGCCTCGCCTCCCAAGAGTGGCTAGGGATTACGGTGTGATCCACTCACGCCGTGGCCAGTTTGCTTAAATATGTAAATCGAGAGCAGCAGCATTGAGGGGACGTGTGAGGTTGTCTTGGCCACCTGTCAGGTGCAGTGTCCAGCGGTGTCCAGCCCCCTCCTCCCAAGTAGTCTGCACACCAAACACTGCCAGTGTGAATTCACTATTTATATTTTCATAAAACCCAGAAGTTCATGTTCATGAACGTTTACCTGTTCGTGAACGTGTCTTTGAGCACCAGATTTGTGACAACAGTTGTCAGATAGGATACACTCAGTCCAGGCACCTGAAAAGGTTCTTTTTCTTGGGATTTTAAAGAGATAGTCAAGCATACACCCTGGAGGGAGCAATACACAGAACATCAGGCAGGGATGCGGTACAATGCAGCAGCACTCACATCTTAGAGTGAGGCATGCTGGGGTGGATTCCTGGTGCTCCCACCTACCGCTTGGGAGACCTTAAGTAAGTTTCTTTAGCATCATTTTCTTTACTTGTAAAAACACAACAAATACCTGCCTTGTCTAGGGCCATGCAACAAACAAGATCAGAGGCCAGAGCCAAGATTCACAATCTGGTCTCAGAACCGTGAGCCTCTGGCCGGGACCACCGCGCCCTGTGGCCTTCTTGAGAAACTGGAACCATGGTCTGTTTGGTTCCACAGCCCAGGACGAAAGCATACTTGCAGACCCTTCCCTGGGTCACCTACTGACGTCATAAAACCTAGGTGGCAAAATCTCTATAGCCTATGCCTCCTCCAGAGAGAGACGGTATCGATTGGCTCTTGCTGTATAACAAGCCGCCTCAAGACTAAGCGGCTTAAAACAACAGTCTTTTATTTGGTTCAGATTCTCTATGGTGTTTTTAGTCTGGGCCAGGCCAGCTGGTCTCTGCAGAGCTCTCTCGTGCCTGTAGCCAGCTAGCAGGACAGCGGCTGCTGATGATCTAGAATGGCCTCACTCTGCGTCTGGGAGTTGGCAGGCAGCCAGGGCAACCGAGCTCTCCTTCACGAGGCCTCTCACACCGCAGCGGGCTCGTCTGGGCTCGTTCACATGGTGACTTCAGGGTTCCAAGTATGGCAAGAGAGAACCACTCCCAATGCGCATTTTTCAGGCCTCTGCTTGCGTCACATTTGGGAATGTCCCATTGACCCAAGCAAGTCACAGGGCTAACCAATAGTGAAGGGATGGAGAAACAGACCCCACCTCTGGATGGGACATGGAGAATCTGTGATCACTTTTGCAATCTCCCACACAGGTCTTCCTCCCAAGCTGCCCTGGGCACTCCCTGCCACATTGCCCTATGTTATCTTCTTCATAGGACCTAGCAACATTCTAAATTAGACATCTGTGTACATGCTTATTATCAATATCAATCCTCCTATCTCCTTCAAAATGTAAGCTTCACGAGAGCAGGGAGTGCCAGGAACGGTGCCTGGCAGGCATTCAGTAGGTATATGTTGACTGGCTGACTAGTCTAAAGATTGGTGGGATTGGCCAGGTGTGGTGGCTCACGCCTGTAATCCTAGCACTCTGGGAGGCCAAGGCAGGAGGATCGCTCAAGGTCAGGAGTTCAAAACCAGCCTGAGCAGGAGTGAGATCCCATCTCTACTAAACATAGAAAGAAATTAATTGGCCAACTAAAATATATATAGAAAAAATTAGCCGGGCATGGTGGCACTTGCCTGTAGTCCCAGCTACTCAGGAGGCTGAGGCAGGAGGATCTCTTGAGCCCAGGAGTTTGAGGTTGCTGTGAGCTAGGCTGACGCCACGGCACTCACTCCAGCATGGGCAACAAAGCGACACTCTGTCTCAAAAAAAAAAAAAAATTATAAAGATTGGTGGGAGTAAGCCACCAGGATGCCAGAACTCAACAACGTGAAATAAAATGATTAATGTCAGTACATGGGAAAGTGACAGCCAAGTATGGGTGACTAGGAAGCACTCAGAGGACAGGCCTGACATCCCTCTTTGAGGCTTTGTGCTCTTTTGGGAGCTCAGACCCCAGTGTTCCCTTCTCATCATTGGCTTCTATTGACAGGCAGGACCTGCTGACTTGAAAAACTTTGACCCAGAGTTCACCCAGGAAGCTGTGTCCAAGTCCATTGGCTGCACCCCTGACACTGTGGCCAGCAGCTCTGGGACCTCAAGTGCATTCCTGGGATTTTCGTATGCACAGGAGAATGACGGCCTCTTAGATGGCTAGAAGAGGAGCACTGTGAAACCACTGAGACCAGTGCGGAGTTACCTTCAGCTGCTAAAAACAGAGATGCAAAGTAACAATGACTTGAATGAGAAACAAGTTTATTTTTTTCCTATCACATGAAAGAATAGTGTTAGGCGGTCTAGGGCTAGTGTGACAGGGCATCAGACACTCACAGGCAATGGCTTCCAATATTAGGGTTGCTGCATTATCACAAAATGGTTCCTGGAGCTCTAGCCACCAATTTTGTGTTCTGGGCAGCAAAAAAGGAGGAAGGGAAAAGAGCAAAATGGCACTTTTAAAAGCTATCCCAGATCCCCACCAATGACTTCTGCTTACATCTCCCTAACCACACACCCTTGCCTGGATTGGAGGCTGGGCTGTGTGGCTCATCAGTGGGGCACGTGACTACCCAGCGGACACTAAGAGAGAAAGGGAGATGTTGGATAGGCAACCAAGCACTCTTTACCAGAAGGGCTCCTAGTGTTTGGATTTTGATCCTAATGTGTAAAATGACAGAGATATAAACTAGCTTATAGGGTGTCAGCCAACATCTCCATATTGATGATGTCTTTCTTTGTGTGGGTAGTATTGGACATTTGTTTTGGGTTGGTTGCCTGGTATCTGAACCCCATCTTATATTCAGGGAGTACCCTATTTCATAAGCCTTCTTGAAGGGCAATAACTACCTCCACGTAGAGTAGCTAAAAATGCTAGATACTGACTTTCCCAGCCTCCCCTGAGCTAGGGCCAGGCATGTGGCCCAGGGATGCACCTGTGCCACCCTTTGACTCAGGGAAGGGACCAGGAGCTCTCTTTAATGTGTTAATTGTGGTGAGTACCCACAAAATTGAGTTTCTGGTATAAAAATAGCAACAATGCAAATTGTAGCAATTGGCACTTAGCTTCAGCAACAGCAGCAGTTTCCTCATCAGACCAGCAGTGCAGTGTCATTCCTGAAAGCCTCAAGTCTCACTCTCTAGCTTTCCCAATGATGTCAAGAGCTTTCTATGCTTTTAATACACTCCTTTTTTGCTTAATTGGCCCAAATCAGTTTTAGATCACCTGCCTAAGCTTGGCCAGTTTCTGTGCTAGACTTTTTAATGTCTGTTACCAATTTTCATCCAAACAACCCTAAGATAGAATTATTACTATCCCCTTTTTACCAATAAGAAACAGGGTCAGAGAAGTTCCTTGCCTGAAGGTTGCATAGCTAATAAGGGCCAGAGCTGGGACCAGGGGCCATATTTGACTCTTACATTGAACTTTTGTGCTGATCTATCCCCTCACTCTGGGTGTTAGTTAGGTCCAAGCAGAAAGACTGTCAGAATCTCTAATAAGAGCCAAAGCAAGAATTGGTTGGACCAAGCGAGGTGTGAGAAATGGGGTCTTGAAGAGGAGCCATTCAGCTGGACGCTGTTCATGGTCTGAGCCTGGCTACGAAGTTCATGCTGTACACTACCTCACATGGGAGCTCAGGCCTTGGACAGAGCTGGAGACTGATGCAGACCTGGTGACCAGAGCTTCCTGGCCACCCATGGAGCTCCATATGTTGAAGATTAGTCATTTCTAAAGGTAATTCTGATTGGACAGAATGTGAGCATGTAACACCTCATGAATTCAGGACACCCTGCACGTGTGGGATGGATCATACTTCCTTACTTCTGTGGTTTTTCACAAACCTGTGGTTCCTACTTCAGGGTGGCCTTATTAGCTTTTTGCTTTAGGGACAAGGGGAGGAACTTTCTTAGGATCAGTGTGTGCTGGTGATTTTGTTGCCTTTCTCTCTTAACTCAGTCCCACTCTTTCCCTTCCATTTTTGTCCACCTAGTCCCCTGCCCAAGCAATTATGGAGGACCAATCTGGGAGACCATGGCAAAAACACCAGTGACACTGACCTACTGGAGATCAAAGCTGGGTCAGGAAGAATTAATATTAAGCTTTGACGTGTGCTGAGAACTCTGAAAGAAACACTCTGATTTCCATCTTAATAGCACTTGTTAATTGACAAATGTGGAACAAGATGAGGGAGAGGTCAAAATCCCCCCAACTTCCCATAGCAAAAAGTGTAATTGTCAGACACATGCTAATACTGTCAAAAGTACACAAACAGCTATGGGTTGTGAAACATGTAATGGTTTCACATAAGGTGTAAAATCACAAATTTTTCACCAGGATAAAAATGCAAAACTAGGCTACTGAATTGATCCCGCTATACCTATGTTTATAGCACATTCCAAGTTTTATATGCATCATTTACAATACTCACAGTAAGCCAGCACTTAGAAATTATTAACCTCACTTTGCACATAGGAAACATTTGCTCAGAGAGATTAAGCAATTTGCCCAAGGTCACCCACTTGGTGAGGAACTGGGCATATTCAGGAACTGAACTTGGCACAGCTGAACTTGGTGGAGGTGAATGTGGTGGCAGCTGATTCTAAAACTCATGCTCTTCTACAGCCTCTAACAGTGGGAGAAGTGCTGTGGGCAGATGCTTTAGCAAATACTGATTGCACAACAGGCAGAAAATTCCCAAGACTTGTCCCAATCCTCAAGTGGAACAACCTACTCTCTCCAGTGGGAACACCTCCTTCTGTTTTTACCCTAAATACGGACTGTATTCACCCAATTTTGCACCAAAATACAGCATCTCCCAAAAGAGAATTCTCAGGCCGGACGCGGTGGCTTACACCTGTAATCCTAGCACTCAGGGAGGCCGAGGCAGGCGGATCGCTCAAGGTCAGGAGTTTGAAACCAGCCTGAACAAGAGCGAGACCGTCTCTACTAAAAATAGAAACAAATCAGTTGGCCAACTAAAAATATATAGAAAAAATTAGCTGGGCATGGTGGCGTGTGCCTGTAGTCCCAGCTACTCGGGAGGCTGAGGCAGGAGGATTGCCTGAACCCGGGAGTTTGAGGTTGCTGTGAGCTAGGCTGACCCCACAGCACAGCCCAGGCAACAGAGTGAGACTGTCTAAAAAAAAAAAGAGAATTCTCAATCACCCTCTTCTCCACTTTTTTAAATTTGGAGGGACAGTATTGTGAAAAGACAACAGCAATTGTGTGTGTACTTTAATATCCCAAACTCCTACTCTGTACTCTTTGAAGACAAACATAAATGTAAATCAAAACTGTCAGGCTCCTCCCCCTCTCCCACCCTCTCTTTTTTTTCTCTCTCCCTCGCTTCCTCCCTGAGCAAATAAATAAATAAGTGAACTGTCAAGTCTCCGCACTCATCGGTTTGAGTCTTCCAGGCTGCTGCAGCGTTGTACCCGAACCCACAGTCCTCAGGCCAGGCACAGAGCCCTCCCCTGGGGAGCAGCACGGCCTGTTTGTGGTTGCAGGCATCTGATTTTCCATTTCCAAGGCTATGGCAGGGCAACCTGTATGTGGTGATGGCTCTTTTGCACAAGCAGTTCCTTCTGATAGGAACGCCCTTGCCTTAATGAATACTTTTCTTTCAGATCTCTGCTCAACGGGGGCTCCTTTTTGACCAGCTCGGGCCCCGCACAACTCCGTAACAGAGCTTATGTTTTTACATTTTTGTAGGCTCTGGCTAGCCAAGGGCTAACTCCCCGCCTGAAGACGCCTAGAGGGCGGCGGGTTCACCGCCGCGTTCCCCGGTGCTCAGGCCTGGCACTGCGGCCAGGCTCGAAGATGTGGGGTTTATCAAAGGGAAAGAACTATCTCACGTTACCGTCCCTGCCACTTAACCTGCCCACGCTCTCCCGGGAGGTCTTCCCTGGCCTCCCAGTCGGCTCACACCAGGTATTCGCCCCAGGCATGTACTGCTACCAACTCGAGACGTAACAGTTCCTAATGATACGACCCTTTTCGACCCCGCTGCTCTGCGCCTGCGCCCTGGGGACCAAGGCCGGAAACCTTCACTATTCTCCTCCCTCAGGCTGGAGCGAAACTTGGGCTCTTGGTAACTGCCGTTTTTATCAGCCTTTAATAATAATTGATATTAAGGAACAAAATTAAGTGGGCTTATTTTGGCGGAAAGTTCGTTCTCGTTGTGTTTGGATTTACCCCTCCTCCAAAATAATGGTACAGTCCCGCATTAGCCCCGCCCCCTACCCATCGCTCCTTTCGCTCTGTCGTCATCACGTCGCTCCGGAGGGAGCGCCTCGTCCGGGGCCACGCCTTCCCAGCGCGCCGGACCTCCGCGGTTGCTAGGCGGCCTTGGATACCTGACGGCGGGATGCTGGACGGCGTCAGGTGAAGGTGGTGGTCACAGGGCCTCAGGTAAGAAGGGTTCCAACCGATGGGCCGGCAGGGGCGTTGCGGCAGTCTGGGAACTGGTGAGGGCCTGGCCCACACTCATCGAGGCCGCCGGGCCAGTATCCTGGAAAATTCTAGGTCCACAGAGGTGAAGCAAATTAGGATATAGGTCGGGATCCCGGCCTTCTGGCTGGGCTCCAGTCTCCATCGCCTTGGCATGCTTGGGTTTTTAGTTGTCCTGCTGAGTAGGAAAGAGCACTGGATGAGGAATCTTAAGGTCTCAGTCTCTGTTTTTGTCATTGTTGCCACCCTTGGTCATTCCATCGTTCATCTGGGAAAATACAGATTTGACTGGTAATGTAATTGAAGAGAAATCGAGAGAATGGATGGACAGCGCCACCCAAATATTGGTTATTTTTATTGTTTTTAACTTCTTTCCTATCCTTAGGAAAACTCATTTCTAGGTAATTCTGACAGTACAGGAACCCAGATCTGCTGTTCACACCAGGGGCTGAGCTACAATAAGCTGTTGACTGGACATGTAGCTTTCCTTACGCTCTCCCTTTAAGAGCCATAAAATGACAAAAGGAGTTCCTCTCTTTTTCCTGGGAATCCTGCTGTTACGAATCTGTCTTTTGGCAAAAACAATTAGTGGCAAAGTAAAAATATGTAAATTCCAGTACCATCTGTGATGGAAAAAAGTTGAGAAGATACCCATGAAGACAGTGGATGAGTTCGTTATGGCATAACCATGCAATAGATCACACAGCCACTAACCTAAATCATGAGGACTTTTAGGAAGCTGGAGAAAGCAGAATACAATATTGTATGTACACAGTGGGACAACAAGTGTGCACATGGATGCAATAGAACATAAAAAGCTGTGTCAAGTGATGGGATCATGAGGATTTTTTTTCAACCAGACAAAATGATTTTCTTTATTTTAGCATATTATGGGGGTACAAGTGTTAAGGTTATATATATTGCCCATGCCCCCCCTCCCCTGACAAAATGATTTTTAAAGTTCATAAAAAAGAGTAAATATGTGAAAGTAGCCAGGAAAATTCTAAAAATTGAAGATATTAAGGGGAATTAGCCCTCCAGCATCACTAGATATTATAACACAAAAAGATAGCAGTTAAATGAGTACAGAACTGAGCAGAAACTTACAGAACTGAGCAGAAACTTACAGATAGATAGAACATGATAGAAATCAGAATAAGACCAAGATATATATATGGATTTATATATAGTCAAGGTGGTACTGTATTTCAAATCAGCCTTGAAAAGTTAGATTGGTGTTGGGCAGCTTTCTAGTAATTTAGAAACTACTGAAACCCATTTTAGCACCAAAATCCATTCCAAATGGACCAAAATTTAAATGTTAAAAAATTACATTGTGAAAGTACTGGAAGAAAGCATTGCTGGGTATATTTATAATCTTAGCATGACAAAAGCTCTTCTGAATGTGTCATGCAATCCAGAAGCCCTAAAGGAAAAGATTAATACTTTTGACTCTATAAAATTTATAATCTATATGGTCTACAAATTCAACCAAACCAAAAAAGCTACCAGAAGTCAAATCTTGAAACAAATAAACTCATGAAAATGTTTGTTTAATGATCAATTAGAAAAATATGAAGCCCAATAGAAAAATGGGTAGTGTATGTGAGCAAGAAAATCAGAAGAAATTCACTGCTAATCTCACTAATTTCAGAGGGCAGATTGAAACAATAATGAGGATTTTTAAAACGTGTTTTATTGGCAAAAATGAGAAAGATTAGAAATAGATTGAATTGTATGGAAACAAATTTATTAGTGTTAGTGGATGTATAAATTAGTACAGTTTTTTTGGAGACTGATTTGGAAATGCTTTACTCAACCATTCAACAGGTAGTAATTTATTCTACAAATATGTAAAGTGCACAGAAGCATTATGTTAAACAATGATGTTTTTAGTATTGTTTTACTAGCAAAAAATTTGAAAAAAGATAGTAATCAGCATACGACTGGTTAAATAAATTATGATACATGCATAAAGTGAAATATTGTGCAGCTGTTTAAAAGAATGTGGTGGATCCATATGTATTGAATGATATCAAATATACAAGATTATGTGAAAAAATGTGTTGCAGAATAATGCATATAGTAAGATCCTATTTCATAAAATAAAGCTATAAGTTAATATATATAAAAAGATCTGGAATCTTCGCAATAGTTAGCAGTGAGGAATCAGGTTGGAAACATGGTCTCGGGGCACAAGAGTAGAGTGATTATGGGGCAGGGCCTTGGGTGTAGGCTGATGGGAAGGCCAGGGCAAAAGACTGAAAGCAAAAGCTCAGGGTGGGCAGGGTTTTGTTTGGCCATAGGTTTCTGCAGCTATGATTCTGCATTTTACTCTCAATCTTTGAGAATTATAGGGGTTTCATAGATAAGTTGCAGTTGTATACCCTTTCTTGATAAATTAGAAGTGGAAAGTAACTATTCCTTTTGGAGTCTTTCTTTTGGGATATTCTTTATTGTTTTTCTGATCTCATCTTTCTTCCATAAGGTAACCATGGAGAAAGAGCTTCGGAGCACCATTATATTTAATGCATACAAAAAGGAGCTATTTACCACCAACAATGGCTATAAATCTATGCAGAAAAAACTTCGGAGTAATTGGAAGATTCAGAGGTGACTATGACCATGTATATTGTTTTCCCTTTTAAGTGATAATGATACCACACTGGTAAAACTAAAAATTATTTATTTTATTATGTAACATAGATTGTTTATGTGGGAGGAGCTCAATTTCAAGATCGTTCAGAATTAAATAAATAAGTATTAAAAGATTCTCTTTCAAAAAAGTTAATCAGCATATTACTAAGTTGTCCTGCAAAGCACAAACCAAAAAATTATTTTAATTATACACATATAATTTTTTAAGATCTTAGAGGCTTTCTCCATATTTTATAACAACTTGGGTCAATACTTTAGGAAAATGAAAAATGAGAATTAAATGAGAATATCTCTGTCTTTATGTATATATGCATGTATTTTTTTTTAATGGGTGAGGATATAGTCATATAAACTAATGGTAGAACTTATTGAATCAGTAGTTTAGGACTTCTTTATGCTTTAGCCTGGTTTAATTTGAACACCTTGACTTACTGGAAGTATTTGGACAGAGGCCAGGTGACTCTGTGGAGCAGGCCTGTAGAGGGGATTCTCACTTTGGGAGAGAGGCAGGACCAGGTACCTCCAAGTCGCTTCATCTCTCTTTTTTTTTTTGAGACAGAGTCTCACTTTGTTGCCCAGGCTAGAGTGAGTGCCGTGGCATCAGCCTAGCTCACAGCAACCTCAAACTCCTGGGCTCAAGCAATCCTGCTGCCTCAGCATCCTGAGTAGCTGGGACTACAGGCATGCGCCACCATGCCTGGCTAATTTTTTCTATATATATCAGTTGGCCAATTAATTTCTTTCTGTTTATAGTAGAGATGGGGTCTTGCTCTTGCTCAGGCTGGTTTTGAACTCCTGACCTTGAGCAATCTGCCTGCCTCGGCCTCCCAGAGTGCTAGGATTACAGGTGTGAGCCACCGCGCCCGGCCTCCCTTCATCTCTTGACCACTGTGGCCTCTGATTCCATATAGTAGAGAGGCTGAAATCATAAACTGGTTTGAATTATGGATCTAACATTTGCTTTTAAAATCATATTTCTAGCTTAAAAGATGAAATCACATCTGAGAAGCTAATTGGGGTGAAACTGTGGATTACAGCTGGGCCAAGAGAAAAATTTACTGCAGCTGAGGTAAGGAAATATCCACAAAGAAGAAATATAATGAGATGGTTAGGAGCATGGGTTCTGAAATCCTGGATTTAAATTCACTTTCACCACTTATTGTGTTGCCTTAAGGTAGTCACTTCATCTCTCTTTTCATCCTGGAGGTGTGATGATTACCTGATACTCCATGTAAACTGCCAAACACATAGTATGGGCTAATTAAATGTTAGTCATGATTCTTTGCCATATTTTTGCTTTGAAAATAGGAAACTTTCATTTAAAATTAAGCTGTTTTTTAAAATTCTATTTCATGGAATAAAGAATGATAAATGTAAGACCTGGAACACAAATTACAGGTGTTGGTGAGAATGTGAAGAAATTGGAACCCTTCCACACTGCTGGTGGGAATGTAAAATGGTGCAACCGCTATGAAAAACAGTATGGCAGTTCCTCAAAAAGTTAAAAATAGATTACCATATGATCTAGCAATCTCACTTCTACGTATATGCCCCCCAAAATTGAAAGCATCTCATAGATATTTGCACACCCATATTCTTAATAGCACTATTCACAATAGCCAAAAGGTAGAAATAGCCCAACTTTCCATTGACAAATGAATAGATAAATAAAATGTGATATATATATATAAAATGGAATTAGTCTTTAAAAGGAAGGAAATTCTGATACATGCTACATCATGGATGAACCTTGAGACATTATGCTAAATGAAAACGGCAGACACAAAAAGACAAATACTATATTATTCCACTTATACAAGTATGAGGTACCTGGAGTAGTCAAATTTATAGAGACACGGCCAGGTGTGGCGGGTCACACCTGTAATCTTAGCACTCTGGAAGGCTGAGCAAGACCCCGTCTGTTCTAAAAATAGAAAGAAATTAGCCAGACAACTAAAAATAGAAAAAAATAGATGAGTATGGTAGCGCATGCCTGTAGTCCCAGCTACTCAGGAGGCTGAGGCAGGAGTATTGCTTGAGCCCAGGAGATTGAGATTGCTGTGAGCTAGGCTGATGCCATGGTACTCTGGCCCAGGCAACAGAGCCAGACTCTGTCTCAAAAAAAAAAGTGTATAGAGACAGAAAATAGAATGATGGTTGCCAGGGCCTGGGGCAAGGGAAGAATGGGGAGCTGTTGTTTGATGGATACAGAGTTTCAGTTTTGCAAGATGAAAGAGTTCTAGTGATTGGTTATACAACAGTGTGAGTATATTTAACACCACTGAACACTTAAAAATGGTTAAGATGGTCAAGTTAGGTTAGGTGTATTTTTCCACAATTAATAAAACAAGCCCAGAATACAGCAAGAGCCGTTCTCATGGAGACTTGTAGGAAGTGCCTTTGTGCTCAGGAAGAGTATGGGGAGTAGGCAGCTTGAGGCAGGGCAGGGCCAGTGTGGTCCTTAGGTTGAGGCAGGCAATAGTCTCCTGCTATTACTCTGAGTGGTACCAGTGGGTAGAGGTCCATGGGGAAGTATTTCTTTTTCCTTTTTTTATCAATGTGATTGCAAGGTGACTTTCCACCTGGGAGGACTTGAAGACAGACATAACTGTCTGATCAGGTTAATTGAGAGGAGGAGTAGGAATTACTGTTGGGAATGTGGAAGTGACCAACTATCCCTACCCACTGAGACCCTGAGGGAAACATACGCACAGACAGCAGTGGCCTGCAAAGAAATACTTTATTACTTTTTGGGGTTTGGTTCCACTTCCCCCCTCCACCTAGGGAAGCCAAAGAGAGAGGTGACCAGGTCTTTACCAAAGAGCAAGTAGCCTCAAGGAAGCAGGGGCACCTAGAGAAAGGGCCAGAGCCTGGGCATTTTCCTAAGCGGGGATGGGCACCAGGCCAAGCCTTACTTCAGGCTCCCAGGGAGGGAAGGCTGTGGCTTCCAAAGGACTCAAGTCCTTTTAGAGGCAGGTTTAGTTCTTTGGAACTTTAGCCTAATAAAATGTCTTCTCACCAGGCCAGTCCCTGGTACCATGCCTTCTCTTTAGAGTTGGAGTGAGGTGGGAAGGAAAGGGAGAAAAGCCGTTAGCTTTTTTCTAAGAACCAACATTCCCTTGTGTTTTTATTCCTCCAGTAGGCTGATCCTGGTAAGATCACTGCCTTGTCATTACTGCTGGCCTTCTAGGACAAGTGAAGGGGTCACTTCAACCCTCAAAAACTGTGATCCTTTTTTCATATTGTCCTCCAGAAGCTTTGTGACAGGACAGACATCCTATGTCTGGTATTAGATACTAGTATCAGGCTAGAAATTAGGCTGAAAAGTCTTCCTGTGTTTCCCACTTCAGCTATTTTGACTCATCACACTGACTTGGTGGGGGATTCAATTACCACCAGGTAGCCTCGTGGCTCAGACCAGTGTCTCCCAATCCTTTCAGGCCAGCATCCACCTATGTTGCAAATGCCACCTTTATCATGCTGCATTGAAATGCATAGATAATATAACCCACCATCACTGAAAAAAATAAGTCAATATAATGTCCTAACTATAATGTAAAGAAATTGAAGGAAGATGATTTTTTTAAAGAATATATGTATTTGAAATTATAAATGCTTAGGCATATATATAGTAGAAGAATATGTGTATTTCAGGTTTTTAATTCTTGGGCATACATGTACCAGAACACTTCTTTATACTTAACATTTTGAAATAAAGTTTAATAAATATATAAAATCACCATGAATGGGATAGGTACAAATGCAGGCTGATGCAGGTATGTTGCATTGGCACTTCAAATCATGAGCCACATTGTCATTGGCAATTTGAGTTTCCAAAATGCTGACCAACTTTTGGTAAAGTCTAAGAAAAAAAAAAGTATAATTCTTCCCTCATTTTCACTCAGTTTACATGGTAGTGTGTACCTGAGAATTCAGTATGTTAAATGCAAGAAATACTTTTTACAGTATTTATGTATAAACTGGAGTTAGATCGTAGGCTAAGTTTTGTTTGTTTTTCTTTTTTAAATCTACATGACTATCTGAGAAGACATTCAAATGTTGTGAGACAGTTCATCATGTGGAACTGGCCTGAACATTCCATGATCTTTAGTATCCCTGCCCCTCCACCCCACCCACTAAAATGTCCTTAAATATTAATATTATAACAATCCAAAATACCTGCTAGATGGCTTAAATGCTTTCACTGAGAGCCACAGACCTGGATTATCCAGTGTCAATAATATTATGAAATATCCCACATTTGGTACCACACTGTAAAACTTACCAGTGTGAATGCATTCCTATTAGGAAATCAGTCTCTAAAATTTAAATCTGCAAAATTAATCTTTATTCCTGTGTTGTTGTTTTTTTTGCCATAAAGAAACAAGAAACCTCTCATTTGTGCCAAAAATCTGTTTTTTGTTAGAAGGATCTCACTTAGATGCATGGGTGGATCCTGGGTCATCAATTGTGGAAACTCCTTCAACCTTTGCCCAACTGTGTTATTTATACGGCAAGTCCTTCATATAGCTGTTTTTCTTAAAATGCCAAATGGCCAATAGGCATTGTGTCTATTGACACAATAGATGTCAATACCAACTCTCTACTCACTGTATTTAGACATGGACAAATCCCAGAAGAAAAATCTTAAGTACCAAGTCCCCATAAGATTTTCCAAGCAGCTAAGTTCTGACAATATATATATTGCAATCTAGACCTGGCTTGCTATTCTCACTCATGGAATATGGCAGATATGTAGGGCTACCTGGAAAAAGGAGTTTGATAGGAAATCAAAAAGAAGAAAAGGGCAGATAGAATCTAGGGAGAGATCAGTCTGCTGTGCTGAGTCCAGGATCAATGAAGTTATGTCTTATTTGTTTTCTTTTTTCGTTGTTGTTCCAAAAATATTTATTAAGGATCTATTTTGTTTATTTTAATTTTATTTTTATCTTTTTATTTTTCATGAGCATTTCCAGTGAGAAGCAATACAAAGGATCTATTTTGTACCCAATTATGTGCCAGATCCTACAACTGACACTAGCAATCAAAATCAAATAGCACATGATCCCTGCTCTCAAGGAACTCATAGTCTAGGGGAAATCAAACAAACGAACCATCTAACAATAACAATCAATGTTATAAGTTCTATGTTTCCACAGAAGCACAGAAAAGAGGCACTAGATTATAAGGCCCAGAGGAAATGGCCTTTGAACTGATTTTTTTTAAAACTTTGATTTTGAAATAATTTATTTATTTGTTTTCTATATTGTGGGGAAGAGAGGGGGAGAGGGAACTCCAGGGAGTGTGCAAGGGCAAGAGGGCTGTAGTACAGCAAAGCTAATCTGGGCCAGTGATTTCCAAAATAAGATGTGTGTGATGAAGCAGTGGGTTGTCAGAAGGAAATTATATTTATTATTCATATTTTCCTTAGCATTACAACATTTCCTTTTTAGGAGTATGTTTTAAATTGTAAATATGCATACTTTATATACACATAAACACATGGACTGTATATATGTGCATATTCAGTTTTTTTCTGATGAGGTACTTGATGAAAATTGAGAAACTATTGGTCTGGACCACCCACCCCAGGTTTTTTCAGGCTGGGTCAGCAAGATCAGCCCTCAATTTTTCTCCCCTCTGGAGCTGTATGAAAGTCAGAGAGCTTTCCAGGATATAAGCAGACAACATGCATTTCTCACTATGGCTTGGTCAGTGGATGACCTTGAACAGAATTCCTTTTGGGGTTGTATGGAAAGCCTTCATCCTGATATTCTTGGTGGGAATGAGGAGGAGGCATTGTCTAGATCGATGGTGCTCAACCAAGGGTGTTTCTGCTTCTTCCTGTCCTCCTGAGGGGACATTTGGCAATGTCTGAAGACATTTTTGGTTGTTAAGGGAGGGTAGGTGCAACCGGTATCTAGTAGGTGAGACCAGGGGTACTGCCGAATGGAGAATATGAGCTTCCTTTAGCTGAGTTTTCCACTTTTGGTTTGCTGTCCAGATAGTCAACCTTGACACTGTCAGTTCATTTGAGTATTTTGGAGCTTTATGTTCAAAGACAAGCTTGGAGATCCTACATGGAGAGTAAATTTTATCTTACATGCATTTATATTTAAATGCCTTATAGATGTGAAGTGTTTATTTTTCAGCTACTTAAGGTCTCATTCATAGTATTTTGTACAAAAGTATTTTGAGTATATTCATAGGTTGTTTTTTTTTCCTTTGTGTAGTTTGAAGTCCTGAAGAAGTACCTTGACAGTGGTGGCGATATCCTTGTGATGCTAGGAGAAGGTGGAGAATCCAGATTTGATACCAATATCAACTTTTTACTAGAAGAATATGGAATCATGGTTAATAATGGTAATTATTGTTATTATTTTAAATGGAGGTAGTAATAGTATTCTTCATATCATAGCCCTCTATGCCCAGGGGTGCAGTGGAAAGAGCCCTGGGCTGAGGCTACATGGTTCAGTGTTCTGGTCTCACCAGTGGTTTGAGCCTCTTGTACCCAGGCTTCTTCCATTTATAAAATGAGAGGGATTGGAACAGAGTTCCAGGGTTCCTTTTGGGTCAAAATTTATCTGAGTCTGTAATACCAAACTTATTTCTAACCTAAAATACACCTTCTTCTCTTTTGAAGATGCTGTTGTTAGAAATGTGTATTACAAGTATTTCCATCCTAAAGAAGCTCTAGTTTCCAATGGAGTTTTGAACAGGTAAGCATGTTGAAAAGCAGTAGTGTCTTTACAAATGACTCTCATCTTTCCTCCACAAATCTTCCATTATCTCTTTTCACACATTCTTTTTTTTATTTTTTATTTTTATTTTTTTTATTTCAGCATATTATGGGGGTACAGATTTTAAGGTTTCAATAAATGCCCATTTCCCCCCTCCCCCCACAAGTCTGAGTTTCCAGCATGACCATCCCCTAGATGGTGCACATCTCACTCATTATATATGTATTACCCCCCCCCTCCCCCTCCCACCTGCCCAATACCCTATTACTGTAGTACCTATGGCCACTTAGGTGCTCTCAGTTAATACCAATTTGCTGGGGAGTATATGTGGTGCTTGTTTTCCATTCTTGGGAAACTTCACTTAATGTATGGTTCCAGCTCTAACCCGGAAATATAAGATGTGCTATATCACCATGTTTCTTAGAGCTGAATAGTACTCCATGGTACATATACCACATTTTATTAATCCATTCTTGGATTGATGGGCACTTGGCTGTTTCCACAGCCTTGCAATTATGAATTGTGTGCTATAAACATCGAGTGCAGTGTTTTTTTTGTAGAGTGTCATGGATCTTTTGGGGAGATGCCCAGCATGGATTGCTGGATCAAATGGTAGATTCATTGTATCGCTTTAAGGTATCTCCATATTGTTTTCCACAGAGGTTGAACTAGTTTGCAGTCCCACCAGCAGTGTAGGAGTGTTCCTCTCTCTCCGCATCCACGCCAGCATTATTGTTTGGAGACTTTTTGATAAAGCCATTCTCACTGGAGTTGTGATATCTCATGTGGTTTTGATTTGCTTTCTTGATGATTAGAAACGTTGAGCATTTTTCATATGTTTGTTGGCCATTCTTCTGTCTTCTTTGGAAAAGTTTCTGTTCAAGTCCTTGCCACTTTTTAATAAGGTTATTTGATTTTTTCTTCCTGATTTTGTGAGTTCTAAAGTATATTCTAGTATTCGTCCCTTATCGGATGCATAGGATGCAAAAATTTTCTCCCATTCTGTAGGTTGTCTGTTTATTCATGACTATTTCTTTGGCTGTGCAGAAGCTTTTGTATTGTTTGATCATGTCCCATTTATTTATTTTGTTGCTGCTGTGATTGCCTTTGGGATTCATCATAAACTCTTTGCCTAGGCCGATGTCTAGGAGTGTTCCAACTTTTCCTCTAGAATTCTAATAGTTTCATACCTTAGGTTTAAGTCTATTATCCAGCGTGAGTTGATTTTGTGAGAGTGAAAGGTGTGGCCTGTTTTAGCCTTCTACAGGTGGCTATCCAGTTTCCCAGCACCATTATTGAAAAGGGATTCTTTTCCCCAGCGTATGTTTTGTCTGCTTTGTCAAAGATTAGATGGCTATATAGGATGGTCTTTATATCAGGATTCTCACATCTGTTCCACTGGTCAATATTCCTATTTTTTGCCAATACCATATTGTTTAATTACTACAGCTATTAGTATAGTTTGATATCTGGCATATTTATGCCTCCCTTTTGTTTTTGTTGCCTAGAATTGCTTTTGATATTCGGGTCTTCTTTGGTTCCATACGAAGCGTAAAATTATTTTTTCTATCTGTGGAAGAATGCTGATGGGATTTTAGTAGGTATTGCTTGAATCTGTAGATCAGTTTGGGGTAGTATATGACTTTTGATGTTTGAGTTCTGTGATCACAAGCATGGTATGATTTCATCCTCTGCTTATTTCCTTCCTCAGTTTCCATAGTTCCCCTGTAGAGGTCTTTTACCTCCTTGGTTAAGTATATTCCTAGGTACTTATTCTTTGTTTTGCTATGTGAAGGAGATTGAGTCTTTGATTTGGTTCTCAATTTGATTGTTGTTGGCGTATATGAATGCTCTGATTTCTGTGTATTGATTTTGTTCCTGAGACTTTACTATTCATTGATCAGTTCCAGGAGTTCTTGGTTGATCTTTGGGTTTCTAGATATAATATCATATCATCAGCAAACAGTGAAAGTTTGATCTCTTCTGCCCCTATTTGGATACCTTTAATTCCATTTTCCTGTCTGATTGCTGTAGCCAAGACTTCCAGCACTATATTGAACAGAAGTGGAGATAGTGGGAGCCTTGTCTGGTTCTAGTTCTAAGTAGGAAGATTTCAATTTTCCCATTCAGTATGATGTTGGCTATGGGCTGTCATATATGGCTTGTACACACATTCTTTTCACTGCCCTCTTCATTTCTTGCTTTTGTTTATTTTATTTATTACTACTTCTCATTCATCAATTATATCTCCATCTTTTGAAACCTTCACATTCACGTTTTTTATTAGGATTAGGATACTTTCAGTTGTAAGTGACAGAAAACTCTATTCAAGTGGGTAAACAATAAAAGACTTTATTGATTTATGTACTTGAAAGCCCGGAAATGGGGCAGGCTTTGGGTATGGATTGGACTGAAAGAGTCACATCATCAGGGCTCTAGTTCCATTTCCCTTCAGTCTCTTGGCTCTGTTTCGTGTGTGGGGGCTGAATAGTTTTAATAGTCCAAGTTCATATCTGTATGCACACCATCTTGGGCAAGAGAGCATGCCTTGGTTCCAGCATCCCAGCAAGAGTAGTCCTAGATCTACTCTTTTTTGGTATTTTTTATTGTTGTGTTGGTTTTGTTTGTTGTTGATTTGTTTGTTTGTTGAGACAGAGTCTCCCTTTATCACCCTGGCTAAAGTACAGTAGTGCCATCATAGCTAACTGCAATCTCAAACTCCTAGGTTCAAGTGATCCTCTTGCCTCAGCCTCCTGAGTAGTTGAGACTACCAGGCATGTGCCACCATGCCCGGCTCATTTTTCTATTTTTTGTAGAAATGGGGTCTTGCCATGTTGTTCAGGTTGGTCTCAAACTCCTGGCCTCAAGCGATCCTCCCGCCTCGGCCTCCCAAGTGTTAGGATTACAGGCATGAGGAGATTTGCTCTTTTTTTGGCTGCCTAGGCCACAGTGCCCATCCAAACTGTCCTGATGGCATAGCTAGGTTGTCTCCTGGAGCCTGGGATGAAGTGAGCTTTCTCTGATCTGGATCCTAAAAATAAATCTGGGGTTTTGGGGAAGTAGGAAATGAATGTCTGAGGAAGCAACATCAGATGCCTTTTGTGAGCTTCTCTCATGTTCAAAATTATTCATTCTGTGCTTGAACTTGCTATGTGGCAGGCATTCTGCTGGCTCTGAGGATAGAGTTTAGAATGTGGGCCTAGAATATGGACCCTTTTCTGAAAACTCAAGAAAGAGGCTAGGCATGGTGGCTCATGCCTATAATCCTAGCACTCTGGGAGGCTGAGGCAGGTGGATTGTTTGAGCTCAGGAGTTCGAGACCAGCCTGAGCAAGAGTGAGATCCCATCTCTACTAAAAATAGAAAGAAATTAGCTGGACAACTAAAAATATACATAGAATAAATTAGCCAGGCATGGTGACGCATGTCTGTAGTCCCAGCTACTTGGGAGGCTGAGGCACTAGGATCTCTTGAGCCCAGGAGTTTGAGGTTGCTGTGAGGTAGGCTGACGCCAGGGCTCTCTAGCCCAGGCAACAGAGTGAGACTCTGTCTCCAAAACAAACAAACAAACAAACAAAAAAACTCAAGAAAGAGGAGAACTGATTCCAATATTTTAATGTTAACTTTTGCAAGCGTTCTAAGGAGAGGCTAGGGTATTTAGGTGTACTTTAATTAAAAAATATATATATCTTGAAGTCTATAAAATTCTTGCATCTCGTTCATATATACTATGTTAATGAATGCAGTGTGAAATTCCCCAAATTTTCGTTTACTAGATTTTACTTTTTTTCTTTAAGGGAAATTAGCCGAGCTGCAGGAAAGGCTGTGCCTGGAATCATTGACGAGGAAAACAGTGGCAACAATGCCCAGTGAGTATGTTTTCTGAGACTACCTGAGGAGGATATGTTTATCATTTTGAAGAGTTTTTTTTTCCGAAATGAAAAGAGTTTTTGTTTCTGATTACAAAAATAATTCTCACCAAAAAAATATGTGAACAATTCAAAGGGAAGAAGGTAGAAGTTCTGCACCATAAGACTATGCCTCTCCCCTGAAGATAATCAGCCTTAACAGTATATTTAGATTTCTAGATTTTTTTTCATATATAGAGTCATAGGTAAGTACTTTTTCCTTTTTAATGACTGGATTAAATTGGAAATATCTACATTTATCTACCCGACCCCTTATTATTGGACGTTTAGGTAGTTTACAATGTTTTGCTTTAATAATACTACCTGATGTTTATCGAGCATTTACTATGTGACAGACATTTATTACCTCATGTAATCCTCACAACCCTGGAAGGTTAGAGATGAGTTTCAGAGAGGTAATTGCCCAAATTCACGTGACTACTTAGATTTGGTCTTTGGCAGTCTGCTCTAGAGTCTGTACTCTTAACTTCTACTCTATATAAATAATTTTATATTTGTCATTATGTTTAAATAACAAAGCACAAGTTGAATGTCTTTGTATGTACGATTTCCATGCACTCATGCTAATATTTTAGTAGGATAGATTCTTAGCATTGGAATTTCTGGGTCCAGGGTCTTCCCACTGATGTGTTTGCCAAGTGTGACATATTACCAAATTACTCTTCAGACAGGTGGTAGCACTTATGGTCCCTATGAACACGCCCCTTTTTCCTCTCTTACTGGTATGGAGGATTCTAGTAAAAAATGGTGTCTCTTATTTTAAATTTATATTTCTTTGATTATTAGTGCATGGGATGGCCTTTAAAGTCTATTGGCTGATTGTATTTCTGTGAATTGCCTGTTCATTGCTTTTTTTTTTTTTTGAGACAGAGTCTCACTCTGTTGCCTGAGCTAGAGTGCCATGGTGTCAGCCTACTTCACAGCAACTAAACTCCTGGTCACAAGGCAATCCTCCTGCCTCAGCCTCCTGAGTAGCTGGGACTAAGGCAATGTGCCACCATGCGGCTAATTTTTTATATATATATAGTTGTTTTGTTTGTTTTGAGACAGAGTCTCCTTTGTTGCCCGCCGGCTAGAGTTAGTGCTGTGGCGTCCCCTAGCTCACAGCAAAACCTCAAACTACTGGCTTCAAGCAATCCCTCCTGCCTCAGCCTCCCGAGTAGCTGGTACTACAGGCATGCGCCACCATGTCCAGCTAATTTTTTTTTTCTATGTATATTAGTTGGCCAATTAATTTCTTTTATTTATAGTGAGATGAGGTCTGCCTCTTGCTCAGGCTGGTTTTGAACTCCTGGCCTGAGGCAGTCCACGCCGCCTCAGGCCTCCCAGAGTGCTAGGATTACAGGCATGAGCTACTGTGCCCGGCCTATATATAGTTTTAGTTGGCCAATTAATTTTTTTCTATTTTTAGTAGAGATGGGGTCTCATTCTTGCTCAGGCTGGTCTTGAATTCCTGAGCTCCAAACAATCCACCCACTCGCCTCCAAGTGCTAAGATACAGGCGTGAGCCCCGCGCGGACGAACAACTGTTTCATTGCTTTTTAAACCATTTCTATTATGTTGATATTTCTTATGCATTATAAGTTCTTTTTTTTTTTTTGAGACAGAGTCTCCCTTTGGTTGCCCAGGCTAGAGTGAGTGCCGTGGCGTCAGCCTAGTCACGCAACCCTCAAATTCCTGGGCTCAACAATCTTCTGCCTCAGCCTCCCGGGTACGGGACTCAGGCATAGCGCACCGACGTATGCCGCTAATTTTTTATATATATATAATATATATCAGTTGGCCATTAACTTCATTTCCCATTTATAGTGAGACGGGCTCGCTCAGGCTGGTTATGTATGACCGAGCATCGCCGCCTCGCTCCCGAGCTGGATTACAGGCGTGAGCCACGTCCCGGCTATACTTCTAATGTGTTGCAAATATTTTTTCCAGCTTCCCTTTTACTTCGGGTATTTACCATAGAAGATCTAATTTTATGTAGTGAAAGCATGTACAAGTTTTAGTAATTATAACATAGTATAGAGCAGAAATAGTAATGAACATAAGTATGCAGGTTAGAATCAGACCTAAACAGATTTGGGATGGGGTTATTGTGTATAGTAAAAGTGGCATTCAAATTATGGAGGATCGGGGATGGACCATCTTCTTCATCCCCCATCCTAAGAAGCTATTCTTCACGTTACACTCATCTTTAACTTCCTCTGTTAATTTACATTCATGTTTGTTAAAATGCTGTATTAAACTTGTATAGAGTTCCAATTTGAATAAAACAAAACAAAAGCTTAGGAAGAAATTTTGGGTTTCGATCGGTGGATCAAGAGCCATTGCTCAAGAAACATAAGA